ATTTCTAGGTGCTAGATACTCCTGAAAAATATTTTAAGATACTAAATACCCCACGAAATATTTTAGAGTGTTAAATGCATCTGAAAAAAAATTTTAGGATACTATATATACCTTAATCCTAATTTATATATTAAACCCAGTACAACATTTTATTTTATTCTCGCAATATTTTTTGTAGCTCTTGGTTTTGACCCGCATTATTTGAGCAATAAGGAAAAAGATAATGTACCACTCAAATGGCCCGTTTGGTTCATTGAATCATAAGTAATAGAATGTAATGTAATAGGAGGGAATGTAATGTAATGTAAAGATGATTACAATAAGTTTGTTTGGTTTAATATTAGAAATCTCAAAAAGATAATAATTTTTATATTAATTTTAATAATTATAAAAACAAAAAAGATTAAAATATCCTTATCACATTTTTTCCTTACCCCCTTCCCTTCCATGATCACCTTCCCCGTCCTCCTTTTTCTTCATTGCTTGTTGCCATAACTAATGTCTAAAAACATAATCAAGGCAAAATGATTTGAAAGGCTAAAAACAAAAATGAAATCATTGGGTGGAAGACAAAAGAAGAATCAGGACTACAGCAACAAATGAGGTAGAGGGCTACTAAAGTTGATGTATATTGCCGGTCCTAAATGTTATTAATATGTTTCATTGCCTTTTGATCCAAGTGAAAAGAGTCAAGTGCTGCTATTATCTAATTGATTCATCGCTTAATAATTTGTAAGACCAAAAAAGTTTGTTCAAGTGAGTAACCGTAGCTTTTTTTTTGCTGCTACTAATTTACCCACTTTTTCTAGTCTTTTTGTTCGTGGTTTTCACTTGAAGTTGTTTCCATGGGAAGTATTTACTAAGAATTCATGATGAGTTTTCAAGATCTACATGGAAGACCCAAATATCTCGATTCCTAAACTTAATCACCATTGCTGAGTAGGTGATGGTGGTGGCAAAGTTTATGAATAGGAGTTTAATGAGTGGCGGCACTAGGGATGAAGCTATGACACCCATAATGATAAAGCTCGACAGTGGTAATAGAAATGGAGGAGGAGGATAGTGGATGAAGAAATGCGTGAGTAGGTGAATGTGTGGTCAGCGAGACTACGGAGGAGGGGGGCAAAAAATGTCTTTTTGCTATATTCCCACATGTTGTAATCCTTATTCACATGTTCCACTAGTGTAATCCCCTTTACATTACTTTAGGTAATTAACATTACAAAAGCCAAACCAAACAAATGAATCAGCTCTTTGCATTAGGATTACATGTAATCCTGATTCTTGTGATCCAACCAAACGTGCCAAAATAGTTTAATTTGAGAGACTTATTTAGAATAACTTATAAAAAACTTTTCAATCATAATTTACGAAATACAAGATAATTATATGAAAGAAATTGTATCTCAACTTATGTGAAACGTGTTTATTAGTACTTTTGAAGATGATTCCAAACAAGCCTTAAGAGGATTGGATACAATAAAAGAGACTAGTTTCCTGTAACATCAAACTAAGGTCTGAATTTTTGGACAAAAGAAACTAGCATCTAAATTCCTATCAAGAAAAATGCCCATATTTAATATCCATTGATATCTCAGTCAGTAACTAACTTGAGTACCTATGCTCGGGGAATAAAAACTTTGATGTCATTTTATTTTTCGTCAAAAAAGTTTTAGATAATGCTACCTTGGATCCTTAATACGCCTCCGGTCCTTAATATATTATCTAATTGTTGAGTTAATTTTGGTCCTAAATATAAGACCCATTTCTCATATTTATCAATTTTTTCTAAATTACCCATATGGATACTCCCTCAATCATAATCAAGTAAGAGAGGAAGATGAGATATTAATAAAGATGATTATGGTGTTTTAGAAAAAAAGTGTCACATTTTTTATAATTAATTAACTTACATAACTTTCTTAATCTAACCAAATTAGTTAAATGGATCTTATATTAAGGACCGGAAGAGTATAAGATATTGTTTGACTTTTATTCTGGTCCTAAACATAGGACTCCAATCCACTTTGTCTTTCATATTTATACATTTTTTTAAAGTAGTCATTCTAATAATAGTAGTTCTAGCCAATACACTTGATTAGCAATGATATTTAAAAAAAAACAACACTTATTTAGGACAAATAACTAACTCAACTTATTTCTTTAGACTTTAATCTCCTCAAATTAGTCAACTAGCTCTTATAATTAGGATTAGAGGTAGTAATATATAATTATTGATAAATCCTTGTTTTATTATAAATTTTCATGTCTTATTTGAGAATTTTATCATATTTATTAGGCTTAAATGTATTGATTATGGTTAATTTGGATTAATTGTGATTAGATGAAAATAGAAATAAAATGGCAGAAATATCATATTTTGTGATTTATTTTGATTGATTGATTTTGAAAAATATGATACTGTAATATCTTGAATTTATTATAAAAAATTTGGGTGAGACTAAAGATAAAAAGAGAATATTCAAAAAATTATAATGAAGGAACAATGAAAATGGAAGCAAAGGACAGTCAGAATTTCACAAATTGCAGAGAAGAATCCAAGCATGAGGTGCTACGTTTTGATTAGGGCTCTCTTTTTTTCCTCTTCTTCGATTATTCGAAATCAGCGGGGAAGGAGACAGAGAGTGGACGGAGAGACGACAGAACGCATCCTCCATTCTCCACCATTACCATATTCCATCTTCCACCTTCGACCATCGACCTCCACACACCTCCATCCCAGCATTCCTCCCTCAATCCATCAACGCCAGCGACTTCCTCACTCATAACCATCGGCGACCTTCCTTCCCCCGTCTTCCATAATCATCGTCTTCTTCCCCTTTCACCGTGAGCGCCGCCGCCGACCTCGTCTTCACCATCAATCAGCATCTTCAGGCCGCGATACCTGTGTCTTCCATTCTTCTTGCGTGAGTCTCCCAGTCCGCCTCTTCCCTTTGCTGCAATGAAGGCTGAATCAATGGAGGTTGGTGGAGTTACTAATCTGACCATGAGCAGCTGAGTGTGATATTCCTCTTGAAACAGAGAGTTATAAAGCCTGGAGCAATCAGTCAGGGAGTTCTTAATTACATTTGTATCTCCAATTCAGTTTTGCATTTTAATCTGTCTTGATTAGAAGATTATACAGTGATTCTGGAGTTGATCCATTACGGTTGTAATATAGTGGTAAATATTGCTGTTTCAGGTTCGATCCACGGCACCAAATTCGACTCTCAAAGCGACATGAAGATCAAATATATGTAATAAAATATCAAATTATTAAATGACTCTAAAATAAAATTTTGTAACCAGTTTACAAGCTCTTATGATAATAATATTCTCATAATTCATAAATAATTGAAAATAACATAATAAAAATGTATATTTTTAAATCGATATATGTTTAACTTTATATGAAACATTTTTATAAGATTGAAAACAAAATAAAAATATATATGCAATTATATTCCAAATAATGATGAAATAAATTATGACAATAAAACAATGATACAAAAAGAAATCAAAACTACTCTAATTATTTCTCATTACTGCACGTTTAATATGCAGCATTTTTTTTAGAAGCGATCTAGTTGATTATTCTGAACTAATATTACGTTGCTGCTTGTCTGTTTTGTTTCATCCATCCTTTTACAGGAAAAGGACCGATGGGAGTTCAAATGCACTTGATGCATCTCCTCATTTATTCCGATCTTCTCCATATCTCATGTCACGCCATAAAACCTAGCAATAAATATTAAAACAATTGGAAAAGTCCATGAAAAAAAGAAAAGAAAAGGAAATATGAATATTTTTCGCTCGCTTTCAATAGCGTTATTTCTTGTTTGGCAAAAACGTATAATTATGCATCCAGTTTTAGTATGCGAAACTCTTTCTCTGAGAAAGGCCTTTTAAGTCAATTTTATCAACATTTCGATCCATCCATCGATCTCCTCCTTTTGCGACCCAATCTTTCCCTTTCACCAACTAAATGATATTGTACATAAAACCTGGAAAGAGGCTCTGGTTCTTACGCTTATTAACCTACTCCTACTATTTAACCTTATGCTGTACATTAGCTCAAAGTTGGCAAAAGACAATATTAAAAAAGCCTAAAACAGATTACAAGCCCAGCGGAAAGAAAGCATAGCAGAACTTAGAATGAGATTAGATACATAAATAAGTACGTTGGCAACAATTTATCGTTTGCATAGCTGGCAATATTAAAGCGAAACTGGGTGGGATGCCATGCATAGCACGAGATCCCAAAAATGATTTGATATGTATTTTATAAATACGTACTAGTTACAATAGTAACGCATTAACATATTCTGAAGATGATGATGATGATGATGATGATGAATATTGTGTGCATAATAATACTCCTCTGGTCCTATTTATAGGGTAGAGAGAGAATGTATTTTTTGGTCTTATTTATAGGGCACTAAGAGAAATTTTTTATATGGATGTACAATTTTACCCCTCATTATTATTGTGTTGACTTTATTTATATGAGGTATAATGTATATTAAATAGGGATAAAATTGGAAATTCATTAAATTTTAAATGAGAGCTAATGAAGTTTAAAGTTTTTCTTGATCTGTATAAAACATGTTGAAAGTGTCTTATAAATAGAATCAGATAAGTATGTATAAAGAAAAAGAAGAAATAAACAGTTCAATAAATAAGACGCGGGAATGAGGGTTGTGTGCAGAGTGGAAAGAAGTTAGGATTCGTTGGAGGACGTGGTTTGGTGGGTGCATTAAAGGGTACGAAGAGGCAGCATTAATGGAGAAGCCGTGGAGTCCAAATGGAGGCAAAGCCCCAAAGCCTTACAAATTCGATAGGTAGTGGTATTTAGACTTGTTGACCCGTTGGTTTTGAAAAGGAAAAGAGAGATACTGGAAGATAGGAGCATTATTGAAGAGAACGCAGTGGAAACAATTAAATGGATAAAAAGAAGCATGAACTAAAGAAGCTAGTCAAAACGCTAGGAGATGCGTAACATGGGGAATAGTGTGTTCAAAGCAGAGAGAAAGGAAGAGGACAGTTGGGCAAATAAATAAGGAAGGGCAAGGACCGGTGAGGCTCATTTATTCATTGCAAGCGTGACAGATGAGTAATTGAAGGTCTTGTTCCTCCCTCTGCTCTGTACTCTGCCTGCTCTTCCAGTCTATATAATGCCACCTTTCTCTCCTGCTTCAATGCACTTTCATTTCTTCTTCTTCTTATCTTCTTCCTTGTGAGTCTGTGATATCTCAATGATGAGAGGTTTTTCAAATGGCAATGTAGTTACTTGGTTCGGTGTTCTTCTTCTTTGTGTGACTGCTTATGTGGGTGTGGCTGATGTTGGCGTTGATAAGGACGACAAGCATTTTATTCATCCGCCGCATTTGCTAGGCACGGCATTTTCAGGAAAGGCTTTAGACATGGTGGAGGCATCGGAGGTGGCGCTGGTTTTGGTGGTGGCGGCGGCATTGGTGGAGGTGGTGGCCTGGGTGGCGGAGCTGGAGGAGGGTTAGGTGGTGGAGGTGGTTTAGGCGGGGGAGCTGGAGGAGGGTTAGGTGGTGGAGGTGGTTTAGGCGGAGGAGCTGGAGGAGGGCTAGGCGGTGGAGGTGGCCTAGGGGGTGGAGCCGGTGGAGGTCTGGGAGGTGGTGCGGGTGGTGGCTTGGGCGGAGGGGCAGGTGGTGGTGGAGGTTTCGGAGGGGGTGCGGGTGGAGGAATAGCTCATGGTGGTGGTTTAGGTGGGGGTGCTGGTGGAGGTCTAGGTGGGGGTGCAGGTGGTGGTTTGGGGGTGGTGGAGGTTTGGGTGGCGGAGCTGGTGGAGGGCTAGGACATGGTGGTGGCTTGGGTGGTGGTGCTGGTGGAGGACTTGGCCATGGTGGTGGTCTAGGTGGGGGTGCAGGTGGTGGTTTGGGTGGTGGTGGGGTTTGGGTGGCGGAGCTGGTGGAGGGCTAGGACATGGTGGTGGTTTGGGTGGTGGTGCTGGTGGAGGACTTGGTCATGGTGGTGGCTTAGGAGGGGGTGCGGGTGGAGGACTAGGACATGGTGGTGGCTTAGGAGGGGGTGCAGGTGGAGGACTAGGTCACGGTGGTGGTTTAGGTGGAGGTGCAGGGGGAGGGATAGGACATGGTGGGGGCCTAGGAGGTGGTGCAGGTGGAGGGCTAGGAGGCGGAGCGGGTGGTGGAGGAGGCGCAGGGGGAGGATTTGGTGGAGGCGTAGGTGGCGGAGGAGGTGTAGGAGGAGGAGGCGGGTTTGGTGGAGGCGCAGGCGGTGGAGCTGGGGGTGGATTCGGAGGAGGAGGCGGATTTGGAGGAGGATTTGGCGGAGGAGGTGGTGCCGGAGCAGGGGTTGGCGCTGGTGGCGGCAACTGAAGTGATCGATCAATCCATTTATATGTGTAATACTACAATTGGCACAATATTACTTAACTGGTGATTCTGATGTGTGAAGTATTTAGGAGTCATCCATATTCTTTGGAATTAAACGAGTAAGTTGCAAGTGTGGTCTGTGAATTAATTGCCATTGGCGTCTCATATATATATATAGAGATCTTATTTACGAGCGTACGCTATTTGTGATGATCTGCATGCAAAACCCAAGCTCCTTTTTCAACGTGTAATGCCCTTTTCTATTCCTAATTCTAATGAATAATATTATTAATCCTGTTTCAAAACTGTGCAGTCTCCTATGCGATGACCTGTATACTCATCTGTGTGCCTATCTCTCTTCAGTTCAGCAGAGGACGTACAGATAATTGAGGCTAGCTAGCCATGTAATAATCCTTCGTTCACGTAATGAATAAAACGTGTGTGTGAGTGTGATGCTTCCCTAAGTAGTGAATCTTGTTCGTTAATTTGCCGTCCGGTACGTACATGACTCATGCACACACACACACACACATGATAAGACCTACCAAGAGCATCTGTAGTTGATGAATTATTGGTGGGAACAAGAAAAAAAAGGAAGCGAGTCTCTGTCTTAGCGTCAGCAGCATGTGGAAGTGTTTGAATGCTCTTGAAGCATGATGCAAGAATATGCCTATATATATAAAAGGATATGGTTCTGTGTCTTCTACTTTTTCTTTGTTTTGTTTCCATTCTCAAAATTTGCATTCTTAACTACACTTCATTTAATCGTACGCACCCGCACACATGTATATATATTCATGACATCCCAAATTGAGTATATATATCAAAAAATCTACAGAAAATTGAACCAATTAGAGGAGGACACTTGCAGCAATCAGTTGTGAGAAGAGCTATGCGTACCGTTGCCGACACTTGCCAACAAAAACAACATGTTTGTGCTCGACATATTACTACGACAATATTAATGGTCTGTTTCATGTCTCAAATGCGTTTAATGCTATTATAATATACACAATATATTCATCAAATAAAAATTCTAAACCGGCCAGATCTATCTGAGGGTTAAAATACCTGATCTCAAAATTAAAACTGCCATGCTTCGGGGGTTAGAGAGGGTGTTTTGTTAATTAGACAAAACTTACTGATAATAGTAATAAAGAGAAAAATAAAAGTATCACGTCTTCTTACTGTCGATACAGAAGCTGCATATACACCACAGGCCACACTAAGTACAGAAAGATATCTGTGTGTGTTAAGGGGAAAGATTTTAAATTATATACGGTCGCAATATTACTATTGTTGCGATAGTTTCATAATAACTTTAAATAAAACAATGACAGGGGACGATTATATTATACCAGCATCCATTGACGATATTGGGTCACGATACAACGGGCAAGAGCTAGAAATAAATGGCAATCTTAAAAGAACTGTCTATAATATCTTAACAAAACCTGTACATAATCCAAAACAAACACACATACCAACAAATTAATGAAGCTTGTTGCTTACTAGTTGGATTCAGGATTTGGACCGCTAGGGACGCTATGAGCAGCAGTTTGAAAAGGATGATTTGTGGAGTTATTGTTGGCTGCTTCTGTTGTTAAGTGTGGAGGACGGTGAGCAAGGAGAGCAAGAAGAGAGAGGATCCCAATAAGTAGCCACAGAAGAAGATGATGAAGTTTTTTATTAGTGATGATTACCATTGAATAATCATAAACCAGCCCGGCCCCCAGTGATCCAGAGGAGATCAATATCCATCAAACACTGATATTACCTACTATGTATGCTGCAGCACAGGAAAATGATCAGTGAGAGAGGGGGAGGAAGAAGAAGCTGATATAGAAAGAAGAGATATTACCTCAACAGATAAAGTGGAGACAGTCTCTCTGGTTTATAAAGACAAGCCTCACTCCTTCCACATAAGGTCCGAGGAGCCTATTCTAACTGGGGAAAAAGAAGAAATATATAACTGATGGGGTTAAGTTCCTACTGACAGAAAATATGCCTCACGTGAGATCAAAAAACCTGTTTCTGTTTATGTGATTGTTGTGGTTCGAGCTCTTAATGAGCTAACAATAATTATTAATGATGAGTAGCTTTTTTTGCTGGAGGGATAAGGTGATGCAATGACGACTGACTTAAAACCAAACATGTGCATGTGTATGTGCATTATTATCTCATAAGTTTTCTTCAGTAAGTAAGTCTACAATAGAATTAAAATCCCTTATTAGAACCCAAAATGGAATTGACTAATTATTTACAAGGCTAATACTTGCTGCGCAATTAATGGGTTAGTGCTTTCAGATTGGAGCATGTTTAACAAATCCATTATTTGAACTCTAGAGAAAGAGAGGGACAGAGAAGGAGCAGCATGGTTACTGACAAATTAAAGGCAAAGAGAAGATAAAAAGGTAGGTAGGCATGCAATGGAAGAGGAGTCTTTTGGAAAAGCAAAATCTGAAAAAAGAAAATAAATAAAGCAGCGTGATGGCCATATGAGGGAGAAAAGAGAAGGCCACAACCCCTAGAATGGTGAGTGATGGCTTTTCATACTTTCTTTTCTTGACTTTGAACCCACCACATTCACACTCTTATAATCTCTAATTATAATCCGAACATTAAACTAATCTCTGAATGCTCACCCACAAAGCAACATCCTCCATTATTAAGTCACTTTTGTGGAAGATGATGAATGAGATTTAGATGAAATTTCTACAAACAGATTTGCACGCATTGCTTTTTGTTTGTAGGCGAGAGCGACCGGTGATAGTGAGTGGCATTGAAGGAACTGATGGATAATGGTAGGTGCCTTCTTTTTTCTGAATTCAAACAAAGCGTGAATCACTAGCTAGCCTCCTTGCTTTACCTGCACGTTCAAATTTTGTCTTTTCTCTGTTCAATCTCCTCCACTCTCATTCCTCTTGCTGATCGCACTCATGGAGCTAATATATGTACGAGAACAATAATCAACAATTTTGTCTTTCAATTCATGTTTTGATCAGAAAGTTGTGGATCAAATTATTCCATTATCACAGATATTTAAAATGAGTGCTCAATCATATTACTAAGGATTTGGTAGCATGAGATAAAAGATTGAGGAGTCGAGGCCTCTTAACTTCTATTACTATATATTTGTTAAAGAATGTCTAGAGCTTCTAAACAAGTCAAGGATTGCCCTGTTTTGATTTTTGTAGATTTGACTTAATTACGATTGTTTTAAAGTTAGCTGCAAAATAAAACAAATCATGCAAATAAAAAGGACAAATTTGTGGTAAGAATGCAAATAATGCATTTCAAGCAGTAAAAATTTAATGACAAATTAAAATGGTTCAAACCATGCCTTCCCAAGGTGGCCGGAGTTGCCGCAGATGAATTGAACTTTGAAAAAACAATGTTAAAGAAGCATTATATTCTTAAGCTCCTTGAAATCAACACTTATATACCAATGGTCAGTGCAGAAATAGGAAACAATGCTGCAAGATAAGTAGCAATCTGTGGACAAATAATTGACTCATTTCCAAAATAGTTTTTTCACTCAAAATTCCATCCTTGAAATGAGGTGAAACTGGACAAAACAGAGATCTAAATAAAAAGGACTTCATCTGTGAAGCGTGGCTAGCAGTTTTGCTTGCTCTGCTAATGTGGGTTAAATTTCGAACTTTCTTTCATTATGAGGGACTATTTCCTCATTGTTTCTCTCCTTATGCATATCTCTATCTACACTTTCTTAAGCTCCCTAACTTTATGAGCTTTCAGCCACAGTCCCTTTACTATGACTTCCTGCATTGGCTTCTTCATCCTGTTTACTTCGCTCTGCATCTTCATCAACAATAGCTGGATCTTGATGCTCATCCTTGTCACCCCTGAGACAAGATTGTACAAAATGTGTAAAATTATTGATTCCAAGAAATATCAAGGGAGTACATTCATATATGAATAGCACCGTAAGAGTCAGATTTTCCATCAAATTTTTAGTTTATTTGGCAGCATAATAGTACTGTGCAAACCATATAGCTGATCCCACCAAACAAGGTAAGATTTATTGTTATTGTTGTAAGGTTATTTGGTCAAATGGTATACGCACAGAAGTTCCCCCCTCCTATGAGCAAAGTCAGAGCAGAATCAAATCCTAGATTTTGTAATACTGTACAAAAGAGACACCAACACTAACTAACTAGACATTGCTGAGTGGGGAAGGAAATTGTGGCTTTTATTGTGCTTATGAAGAAAACTTGAAATACAGAGAGGTGAACTAACGATGTTCCAGTTAAGAATTCTAATGAAACAGGCGAAGTGGACCTGCTGGAGAACTATTGAATCAGCATACACAGAAATTTCATGGGCACACAGAATTCTTAACAAGAAAGAATCAAGGTGCCAAGATGTGATTTTTGTATAAAAACACGCCTGATCGTCATTGATATTTAATGCTAGAACTAGCTGACTGAATTGCAGCCATTTATTGTCAGAAAATCCCAAAAGAAAATTGCGTAATTGGAAATAGAAACGCTGGAGCAAATACCCGGAGTAGATAATAAGCCCAATTGTAACAGCACCAAAAGCCACAAAATACATCCAATCAACCTGGAAATGAAAATTAGTTCCAGATATGTTAGCACATTCAACATGTGATTCATGTTTAATAGGATTATCAAAGTTGTTAATGTTGCTATCAGACCTTTTCATGGTATGCAAAAATGCGAATTAAGACAGACCACATGTCTGAAGTCAGCAGAGACAGATTTAGCATGGTAGACCCATTGATCTGCACAAAAGAACATAGGTTATTAAAATGATATTTCCCCGTAGAAACCTGGATATTTAAAACTTACGAGAGAAATACTGTTACTAGTTCAGTATAAATTTTCCCATCTCAAGCAAAAATTTCAAGAAAATTCAATTTTTGATCTATTACTTTCAATAGTTTAAACATTTTACTCACAGACATAATAATTGGAAATCTGGAGAGTTGTAGCTTAAATGCATACCTTAAGCAGGACAGGGACTAATGAGTAGAACAGAAACATCGCCAATGCGAACCCGACAAAGGGAAGTGCCTGAGACCAACATTGAAAAAGAGGTCACAATTTTTAATTTCCTAATTTCTCATTATCCTTTCCATAGAACCATCAGATTCGGTTTCTTCTACAAAGGAATGAGACAGGAGCAAGAAATAAGCCAGCTTAAATTAAACGAAAAACCTTTCAAGATGACACTTTCAGGATCTTAGATAAAGTGATATTTTGTCAATGATGATGATGTTGTGTGGGTGTGTGTGTGTGTGTGTGAGAGAGAGAGAGAGAGAGCTTACTGCTCCGGCTGACCAATGAATAGATTTCAGCTCACTGCGCTCAAGTACGCTTCTGTAATATTTATTAAGGCCATGAAATTGGAGTGGGCAAATGGAACATCTTAAAAATGTTTTCACTTTCCTTTCTCCTACAAAGTTGAAGCCACTTTATACACCAAGAATAACGTGATAATAGATTATAGGGGTAGTATAATTTTTGATTCCTCAAATTTACCCTCATTTTAGTTTTGGTCCCTTAAGTTTCAAACCATGGACTTTAGTCATTCAAAGGACAAAATAGTCTAAGTTTTTATTGGACTATAGAGACCAATAGTTTAACTTAAATGAAACTTGAAGAATCAAAACCTATGGTTTGAAACTTGAGGGACTAAAACCAAAATAAGAGCAAACTTGAAGGACTAGAAATTATATTAACCCTAGATTATAGAAATAATCTTTGACCCATCTCATTATCAGCCATTAATCACCTAAATTTAAGAAACTTGATATTAAAATACCTTCAAATTTTCCACTGGTGACATTTACACATTTCAAATTTACTCAATTCCCAGAATATTCTCTAATGCAATATGATTATGACCCGACATGATTCAACCATTGAGGAAAACAATCTCTGAATTCGGCATAATGTTTCCAATATGACATGGCTATGCATTATAGTGAAGACTTAAGGGACAATAAATGGTGCAAACAAAGTTTGACCCCCTGGAACTGCTACAAAATAGGTTGAGCACGATTAAAAATATAAACATCTCTGAATTATTGGTTTTTAATTGCAAGGATACATTTGAATTGCGCTGATAATGCCACCAAAGGTACCCAACATTGCCATGAGCTCAACTCTATCGGCATTTTTCACTAGAAACTCCTGCAATGGGAAATAGATCATGATAAAGCAAAATGCGTCATGCATAAAGTAACTCTGCTCTGAGCTCTAAAGTGTGAATGAAACAGCATATTGAACACATGGCAGTTCTTAAATTCACCACAATGAATCGTCTGTGCACTCTTGATCTCAGTCGATCGAAACATAGTAACAAATAAGGTTAAATGAAGAAACAAGTTACATGGCAAGATAGTTCTGCTAACATTTTCACTAAGTTTTAGTTGAGCTATAGTATGACACGCACGAGCTTATTGAGACATTAGACAAACGTTTGAAATAAAGTGGGCACACTACAAAGAAAAATGGAAAAATTCCTTGACTTTACAATCACATTGAGAAGCTCTTCAAAAAATAGACAGAAAAAAGGTCGCATACAAGACATTGGAAGCACCAAAATACAGAAATGTAGTCATCTTACCTCACTGACATTACTGATAGCATACAAGGTAGCACCGGCAATGACAAGAATATCCCCTTTGCGAGGATTGCTTCCACCTATGACATGCATGCAACATCAGAGAGATAGCATAAATGGAAAGATGTACGTAACCAATGATAACTGATAATATCAAAATCCCTTATTTAGGACTACGTTTTAAAAGAACAATCCATCTCCATGTGGGTGCATAAGTAAATCACATAAGAAATAGGTGTCAACATCAACTACAAAAAAGCCACTTACCAGCACGATCGCCTGCATGAACATCTGAAAACACTACCAGCACAAGACCAGCAACACAAACAATTACCCCAGTAATCTTTTTAAATCTATATTTTGTCTTCAAGAAAAGCCATGTCAGCAGCATGACAGATGGAATGGACCAGCAGTCAAGCAGCATCACACTTGTTAATGATGTGTATTGGTATGCCTTTACAACTGTACATAAAAAAGAAAATAGATTGTAATAACCGAAAAAGATATTATGCAGCAGTCAATTAACTAGATGCAGAGAATCAAATAAGAGATCTAAAGTCACGCTAGAGTAGTTCAGACTGAAGAGTATTAAGGCAACTGTTTGACTTATAACAAAATTTTGATTCCGCTCTGACCTACTGGTGCTTGAGCATCTCGTGTATAAAAATACTAATTGATGCTCCCTCTGTTTATATTTTCATCATCACGAAACACTTACCAAGAAAATTTCCCTCAACATCAACCAACGCTAAAAGTACATAATAGTACCATTTTGCCTGCATGAATACCATATGAAGTCAATGAACCCGTCTCTAAATATTTGATATAAGATGGAAACACTGACTAAAAAGAGCAGATCGATATCCAGTAGATCTCAACTTAAAGATGTGCTCCAAACCCTCTCCCAAAAGGATGCTTCACTTTATAATGCTAAGGGATGCCCAAGGAGGTCAAAGTACACAGGATAAATAATTACTTTGAAAAGTTTTCGCTTTTCAGTATTCAAATTCTTATCTGATGTTCAAACCCAACAAAATTAGAACTAGATTAAAATATCAATCGCCTGCGGTATCGCATCAAATCCTACAACTTAAGTCAAATCATAATGTCAGGATGTAATAGCAAGAAATTCAAAATTATGGAGCATAAATTATAACCTTGAGTGGTTGCCTTCGGTAAAGTGCAGTACTCCCATAAACAATCGCCAATAACACATAGTTCAGGAAAGACTGTGAAGTTGGTGCATCAATGCCTACAAGAATACCAAAAAAGGGACAAAATTTGTGATGGGCATTCCTTTTTTTTTTTGGGGGGGGGGGGTTGTGGTGGGTTGGCAGTATCCAAGCATCAAAAGCCACATCTTAATAATTGGCAAGAAGGCTCTCAGATAAACAAAACAGGATTCAATGACCAGAAACAGCCGCGTAACAACACTAAGGACCCCAACAAAACTGAACAAACGGCCAAACATATTGACAATTCTGTCCTGTGGAAAGTGACGAGTTTCAGCAAGTAGGAAATTAAAAAGCCCGCAACGTATCATAGATATCGACTGACTTGCCATCACTTAAAAGGATGTTGAGAAGTACACGAAAACTACTATCCCAAACATATGTAATTATCAGCACTGCGAAAAGTTGCAACTTTAAACATTCATGGCTACCTGTAACGTCGCCAGAAGATTTATTTCAACGGAATTATGAAGATTAAGCGTATTGAAAAGCAACAAAACCTTTTTTGGCCAGCTCGGAAGATGCGAAGCCTGTGGCAGTGATCAGTAGAGATAGAAACTGTCCCAACCCCAGGCCTATCAATGTTTTTCTGGTCCATAACTGCTTAAAATTTATCATCTTCTGATATTCTTGTATGCCGCAACCAGAAAGAAACTACTACGAGAAACAATCCAAGTTTGAAAATTGTAGATACCCACAAGCAAAGACCAGGCTGCTGATCACTCAATGAAGCGTATAAATAGCTCAGCAATCAACTACCCACCGAGCCTCTTATGGTGGCCCAGATTGAAAAGGCTTCTTCGGAATGTTTCTTTAGCGAAAGTGGCTGAAAAGACGTATCATCCGAAAGCGCATATTGGAACCAACGGCTGTTCTGAGTTCCCAATTTCTACAGAAGTAGTGCTCAGATTATGGAGTACCGGCAAAAGTACCCAGTCCCTTATACTTTAATATTAGAAAGAAAACGATTCTAATCATTTAGGAGCTGACCAGTGGCCATATAATTTGATGGAATTTCCCAATTTCAAACGCTGCCAATTTCTCTATCATCTGACGCGAATCGCTGAATCAAGGATCCTCCATTTTTATCGTCTTGGCCCATAAAATCGTTGACTTTGAATTGGGATTAATATAATTGTTTTTTTATAAAGGACTAATAATTGTTCAATTTGATTTATTTTTACAGAAATTAATATCAAAATTTTCAATTTGAATTTTGAAGTAATAAATTCAAATGAAAGTTATAAATACATCAACCAATCATCATCAATGTACTACCTCTGATCCTTAATATAAGATTTGTTTGATTTTTATTTTGGTCCTAAATATAAGATCCCAATCCACTTTTTCTCTTATATTTATGCATTTTTTTCCAAAGTAGTTCTTCTAATAATGATAGTTTTAGCCAATATACTTGATTAATAAGGATATTTTAGAAAAGAAAACACCTATTTATTACAAATAACTAACTTAACTTATTTCCTTAATCTCATCAAATTAGTCAACTAACTCTTATAATTAGGACCGGAAGTAGTATAATATAAAGTTCCATTGCAAAAAAACTATAAAGTTCGTGACAATTGAAACTATTATTTATATATTAAATTGTCAAGAGTATAGCTCATCACAGATCTATATGATGCAGGTAAAAAATCATGTATAGTTAATAGTTAATAACTGATATTGATGATGATGATGATGAGAACAACAACAATAAACCCGGCAAAAAAAAAAACCATGATTATCTTCCCATTTTATCTGGCTCGGCACCGCATAAGATTTAGCAATTGCCTTTGTCTCTGGATTAGATTACAAAACGGCTCTTGGGTCAACTGTCTTGTAGGAATGGGACTATAATACAAGGATACTGGGCCAAAATCTTGGCGGGTTCCCCATCTTTTTTAATTACTTCTGCCACTACTGCTTTTCTTAAATATCCAAGTGGTTTCGTACGGTATAAAAAGCCCCTTCATTAATAAAATTTGTTAATACATACGTATCAAACATTACCAACAAATAGACCTAGTGTCTCGCAACTTCTTAACTCAAATTGCTGCTGAAAGAGGTATCGGAATTAGATACCTAACAGTATCGAGAATAGGATTATCAGATACATAAGTGTTGATATTTTTGAGAAAATTTCCATATTACTGGATTACAAATTATTTACGGAAGAACAAGAGGTTAGGTTGGGAGTTGGGAGTGCTGGTGGGATAAGTTAAACAGTGATTTGTGATTTGACGATAGGCAGCGATGCCGTTGTGGAATTCGGCTTCCCATCGCAGTATGTGACTGAATGAAAACGACGCCATATCCTTTTGTGTTCGCTTATTTCTATTAATGTCGTTTTCGGGGTCAACCAGTGTGCCTCTCGTTTATTTAATTTGTATAGAAAAATACTAATCAAACAGAAGTTTACTTTCCAGTTCTTTGAACTAAATCCACACACAAAGAATCTTATGAGTAGTGATAATGCCAACTAATATCAATCTTTTTCTCTGTAAATGGCTTATAAGGATCGTATCAGACGCGTAATGCGCTTTCGCTTTTGTGTTTCGCTTTCACTTTGTGTGGTTTTTTCCTTCTTTGATAATTTTTTTTAAGAAACTCTCCCTTGTTCCTTTTCTATGCCCCCCACATGGCCACTCAGCTATGCATCCCAATTGCTTATTTATTGGACTCTATAGCAATAGTAGTAAATATGAGACGACAGTGTTAAAAAAAATTAACCCCTTTTAAATAAAAAGATTATCGGATTCAATTGATTTGAACTTGTTGCAGAGTCTTTGGTAAATCAGGAAAGACTTACAAAACAAGCATAAGATCCCTGGCAAATTAGTACAAACACTTTTTTGGACAAAATATCTTGTACATCATGCAAGACCTTTTCTTTTGGGTAAATTTCTGTATGAACCTATTGTTTCAATTTTGTGCAAGGTCACGGAAGACAACCTGCAAGTTGAGCAAGACTTCTGTGCAGCTTTTTTAAGGATCTAAGCATATAACTTTCTTCTGGAACCTTTATAAATCATCGAACTATTTTATAAGATCAATTCAACTATTTTATAATTCATATCAATGCCTAATAACAACATTTATATTTACCGACAAATTTGAGGCGGACGATAAATGCTTGTGATTTGTTGACTCTAGGCACTTCCCCTATTATTAGATAAACAAAATTACATGGCGGTTAGAACTATTTGGCTTAACTGACACTTAATATCTCATTCAAGTCTTGTTTGTGCGAATAAAAGATGATACTCAATATGAATCTAATTATTTATGGGTGCATGGTGTTTTATGACTTACTGTTGGTCTTGACAAAAATAAAAAATTATATAGGTTGACAAGCATTTACTCCGGTTTTAAATATAAAACCTATTTTGTAACGTAATTTACATTATAAAATAAATCTTATATTTAAAATTAAAAAAGTATTAAAGCAAGGACAGACCAGAAATAAGTGGACTGCTGGCTCAAGAATTGCCTTATGGATTGCAAATAATGACAAGTGGAATAGAATTCTGCAATCTCTGCGGCAGATCTTAAAACCATGGGCCTTGTTATTGGAAATGGGGGGCATGGGCCACATGCTTTTTTATGCTGAACCCTCAAATGATGGTCACCACTTTTTTTGGGTCAAAATAAAAGTCACCACTTACACTATCACAAGTGCACCATAAAAAGACAATGTGCAAAAGTTAAATTACACGTTAGTACTAATTATTACTACTATTACAGAGCTGACTCTTAAATTTTTAATTAAATTAATTACCCCCCGGGAGTAAGGAAATAATTGAAGTAATTGTTTTGGTAAAACACTATTTTAAATTTTGCATTTATATTTAGAATTAGAAATAGGCAGCAGCACCTTATTCGAAACAGAGATCCCTGCAGAAATTTCCATGCCGTTACTGTTTAATTAACCAATGTCGGTAACTAAAAACAAGAATTAATATTATTGTTGGTTATTACAATTTGATTTAATTTTAATTTTTAGTTTTTATAGTTTTAAATAGTTAGTTTTAGTCCCTGGTTTCATAAGAATTTTCTCTGAATTTAAGTATAGAAACTAAAACAAAAACTATTATTAGTTATACTTAAACCAAAAAAATAACAAAACTATAGAGAGAAAAACCAACTATTTAACCAAAATCAAAATCGGATTAAAGGACTAATAATAATATTAATTCTAAAAATAATCTAAACTTGGTACCCGATTGGCTGGCCTGCCTCTAATATTTTCACTTCACTTGCCTCCAAGTCTGTAACTACCAGGAGCCTCAGAAGCATTGTCAGTCCGTCCCTCACGTTCCGAATGGCCCCAACTAGTAATATTCCTTCTTTATTAATATAAGACCTATTTAACTAATTTGATTAGATTAAAAAAGTTAGGTAACTTAATTAATTATAAGAAATATTATATGTTTTTTTTAAAACACCATAATCATGTTCTTTAATATCCTCTCTCCTCCCTCTTCTACTTGATTATAGTTGAGGGAGTATCCATAGGGATAATCTAGAAAAAATTGATAAATATGAGAAGTAGGTCTTATATTTATGACTAAAACTAACTTAATAATTAGGTCATATATTAAGGATAAGAGGAATATAACATTTCATCCTCTACATTCTTGGTCCCAATTCTCACTCTTTCTCTTTATTCAAAAATTACCACAACAAACCCTATTTTTACCCCAAAAAGGAAAAAAGCACTATAGCCCCCTCTTGCATTTGAACCTCATCACATTCCCCTTCCTATCCAAGGTTTCTCTTAGAGTTAAAAGCCCCACCCCGTTAGGGAGAGACCAGTTCCTGATGGGGATCATTTAATCTGGACAAAGAACGTTACGGCCCCATTGGCCGTGAAATAGTTCGGTGCTTGACTCCTAAGCCGGTGGGACATGAGGCCATTTCGGTGCCATAGGAGCAAACACCATGCTTGGTTTAACAATGACCTCGCTTAGCATCACTTTTAGAATAACCTACAAACATGTTTTACGTAAATTGAGACAAAATTTTTATCATATACTCTTCTGATCCTATTTATAAGATAGAGATATAAGGTTTTTTTGTCATATTTATAAGTAACTTCATTAAATTTTCAACGCAAATATATTATTTTGTCATTTATTTATTATAGTGTAAGTACTAATCTCTTTTGAAAAATGTATACATTAAATATGAGTAAAGTTAAAAAAAAATTATTATATTTTAATTAAAAATTAATGATTTTTAATTTTTTAAATCTATCTGAAATATATTGAAAGTACTTTCTAAATAACATAATTATCTAAATCAAACAACCATTCCAAAGGGGTCCAATATTCCTTTTCCAAAGCTCACAGAACACAATGCTTTGTATTCATGACGGAGTACAAGGTTGCGCGGTTTGTCTGATTTGCAAAAGACAAAAAATCTCGTGCGTAACAAGGACCTTGACATGAAAATACCTGATCCTTACCAGTAGGGCCAGACTGGGCCTAGAGAAGAGGGGTTTATTATTAAGGGTAGGCCCGTAGGCCCGGCTTGGCTTAGATTTCGCCCACCCAAATAGTAACATGCATGCTTCTACACTGTCTAGTTATAATGGTAGCTTTTAGTGCCCTATATGTAGGCTTTGTTGAATCTGTCATACCCTCCAGCCTATTATTTGATACATGCATGCATGTGGTTTATTATTCAGCGCGCCTGTGGCGAAGTAATTAAGAAGAGACCGAATATTTTAGACTGCGAATGGGGCCTTTTGACCCGGAAGAACTGCTCATTCTTTGACAGATCTCTGTATATGGTTGATTTAAGAGTATATAGGGCCAGCCATCTACAACTAGATTTACATTCTAACTTAAGCAACTCGCTTCTCATAGGAAAGGGCCATTTTAGGACGGACATACTCCAATACTAACCTTTAATTTATTATTACAATTTTGCTTTGATTTAAGTTCAGTATTTATGTGTCACATTTAACGTTTCTCAGTTTTGAAAAGAAAAAAAATAATATGAAGCACTTGTTTATCCACTCCAAAACAAAACATACACTTCTTAAAAAGCAGCGCCCTATTTTTATTTTCTGGTCATTTTCATAACAACTTTTGATGGTTTCAATAAGTATTAGATAGATATTTTTGTACATATACTCATATATGCTCATATTTAATAAAAATAATGAAAGAATAGAAATTAATATGATGCTAGAATTTAGTGTAGTTAACCAATGTAATATTAAAAATTATTTAAATTTTATGACAAATTTAATATTCTTAACTAGTTTTTTTATATGTGTGAATTAGTTAGCATACTCTTATAATAAAGACTAAACTAATGTTTTTTTTTTGGATGCGCAAAAGAAAGAGAGTACATATGATTTTTTCTTTCTCCACGCATTGGAGCGAAGTTTCAGATCTGAAATTTCGAAACAAGGTCGGCCCAGAAAGATGGGGTTTCTTCTTTTTAAATGATCGGGTTAAAAAAAGTGACAAATCATCATCAATCAATCAATATATATAAATTAAATCACATTAAATTGGTTCTTCTGCAGTCTTATTAAATATGATTTGTTAATGTATGGGCAATACATTTTTTTGCCGGCGAACAGTACAGTTTTTTTCTCACCTATTATATATTGCTCATTATATTATTCATATTGACCCGTGATTCTCAGGAATGTGAAAAAAAGAAAAGAAAAGAACTGGAACCTGTGTTAAGGCCCGGGAGTGGAAGTCTATTATATTGGAACTTGGTTTTAAAATTATCCTCTGCTGCTGCTGCTGTGCTGCGGGTCCTCCCGGTAAATCCGGTATCCATATATAACCTTTTTTTTTTAAAATATAACGACTAATATTTTAAATATTTAAACTATAAACATTTGAGTTGTAACTTGTATTGAGTGAAAATTTATGAAATTTAGGGATTATATTATAATCAATTGTGCAGAGTTAAATTTTAAGAATTGGGTTGCCATCAACTCAATTATATACAAGGGCAAAAAGATTAATTTTCTTACGAGAGTTTTGTCACGAAATCTCAAGAAATGGACATAATAATTATTAAAAAATTTACAACAGAATAATTTGCAATGAGAAGTTTTTGAGTAGAAGGTAACAATTATTCACTAATTATTTCTTTATTTGAGATCTCATTATAATTTTTTCCAATATATTTATTTATTTTATTTAAATAACTGCAAGAATGGGAAGGATGGGCAATTAAATGCTTTAATTGCCTCGGAGAAAAGAAAGGGCCTTAATTGGGATCCCCTTTACAAGTTCTGAGGCTACCAAGTACAATCATCATACCTGTACTCTGATTTCTTTCTTTTGTGACACACCTGCCCTTAAAATTGTATTTGCTCAGCACGTACCCTTCTTCAAAGTTTATGATACTCATTAAAACTTCAATTTTATTATTCTCACACTTACCTCTTATTTATTTTTAATGTAATTTAAATGCACCCTCTGCATAATTTTAAAGACCATACACATGTCTTGTCCCCTTTATGATTATTTTTTATTGGTAAAAAAATAGTCTGAAACTGACAAAACTTTATTATTGTAATATTTGAATTTCAGAGACAGCTCTGCGGTAATTAACAGGCAGACGATTCTATTCTCGGAGCGACAGTGCAAAATTATACTATTAACTTAGCTATTCTAAATAATTAAATATTTTAAAAGGTGTCATAAATCAAAGCTAAACACCTTCTGAGTCTCCTGAGCCTTTTTATAACTAGCAGTGTTAGTTTCTCACTTTTAAAATTTTTATTAAAAAAGTAAAATTATGCGTTATTTTTTTTGGGGTAATAGTACAGGTAAAGTATTTTTTTAAAAAATATATTTAAATTTTTAATCAATAATACGAGGACTTTTTAAAGCAAAAGAATAGAACTCTCGTGTGGAGGGTGTTCACCCCTATTCACATCTGCCGACTGCCAATGCACTTCACCTTCGCTATGCTATAAAGTAAACAGCTAATTGTCCTCCTCTTTCTCTCTCCGACCAATCAATATCTTCCCTCTCTCTCCTCGCTGGCTCGCGCTCTCTTTCTTTATTATCACTATTCACGAAATCACATTAATCGCAGAGCTCATCATCACAACAAAAATGCATAATCCCTTGGCTTCCGTGCGTCCTCCTTCCATTTTCTTCCACCCTTCTTACGTTCAAGAAGCCACACGCTTTCACGTACACATCCATCCAAGAATCGCTTTGTTACAGTGATCCAAAGAACCTTTTCTTTCCTGAGTTTTAGCTGCACAACCCTATCTTCAATACCTAACAATGGCTCCGACTGTAATGCCCCTTCAATCTGTAGTTTCCAGTTTTGTCGGACGACCTTTTATGAGAGTCTTCTTCGCCTTCATCCTCTGCTCTCTGTTCTACGTCATTGTTTTCCGTCTTGGTGTTTCGGAAGACAACCCTACTCAATCCTTAGAAATGTCTGACTTTGAATTCTGCCCTGGTAACTACACAAATTACTGCCCCTGCCAGGACCCGCGTAGGCAAAAACGGTTCTCTAATTTTATGTGGTTTCGTAAGGAGCGTCATTGCCCAAACATCAGTGAAAGACTGCGCTGCTTGATTCCTAAGCCATTGGGTTACCGAAAGCCTTTTCCTTGGCCTGAGAGTAAGGACGCAGCTTGGTTCAGTAATGTCCCTTTTACGAAACTCGCGGAATATAAAAAGTCTCAGAATTGGGTCAGATTGGAAGGTGATCGTCTTGTGTTTCCCGGCGGCGGCACATCGTTTCCCGAAGGAGTTAAGGGTTATGTCGATGCTCTGAACCGTATTCTGCCTCTGGATTCCGGTGATATACGAACAGCTCTTGATGTTGGTTGTGGGGTAAGCTTGGCGTGTCTGCTCTGCGTTTTCTTCTTCTTCTTCTTCTTGTTTTATTTTTGACAATTATGTCGAGTCCATTTCTTTTAAATTTTTTTTTGTTAACGTTTCTTTCTTCCCCGTCCGTTGATTTTTGGTGAATGTGCGAGGGATAAGGTTGCGTGTTCTAGTTATTCCTTAATGGATTAGGAAGTTTAAACAAATGATTATCGAAGAGAAATTCATTGAATGATTTCATTGCGGTTTATTAATCTTGTTTCATGTTGAATCTTCTCATTCTACGTTTTTGACAAATGAGGCCAATATAAACTTTATTAAAATGGGTCGCTTGTTATATATATGTTTTTTTATGGCTTTTTGGAAGTATTGAAAATGAAGGTGTACTCGTTTGCCTAAACATTTTCTTGATTCACACAACAACTACTACCTAGCTCAATCATATACAGTCAGAATTTAAACTTGAAAGGGGGCAACCGACCTGATTGCTAATGGTAGAATATGGGAATATTAAACAACTAAAATATTTGTCCTGTTCCATGACTTTTGATCTGAGATTTAACATCCCGTCCTAATGACTTACTCTATCTGCAAATCCTAGTTAATCTTGAAACAACGATAGCGTTGCTTATTCTAGTTATCACTTATAGATTTGGAATTTATTCAATTAATTACTTAAGTGAATTGACTGGGAAGAAGAAAACAGAGACAGAGAAGGAATGACTCACGCGCGCACACTTTTTTTTTTCCTTTCAGGTAAAAAATGCAGGGACAGAGAAGATATGACTTTTAATGTTGCTTACTCTTCTTGTTACATACTGAGGATTCTTATTTCTATACTAAAGCCAAATGAGACCTTTACATGTGATTAGGTTTTAGTTTTATTCTTTGGACCCAAGAATTTCCTGCTCTCTTCATACTTACACATAAACTTGTATCTTGAATGTGCGCTGTTACAGGTTGCAAGCTTTGGAGCATCGTTAATGGACTACAATATCTTGACGATGTCAGTTGCGCCAAGTGATGAACATGAAGCACAAGTACAGTTTGCCTTAGAAAGGGGGCTTCCGGCCTTGCTTGGAGTACTAAGCGTTCATAGGCTACCATTCCCTTCAAGATCATTTGATATGGCTCACTGCTCCCGATGCCTTGTCCAATGGACTGCCTATGGTATTGATTGCTTGAACTGAATCTTATTAGTTATGACTATGCCATCAAGCCTTGATGAAAAAACAATGAAAGAAGGCTCTCTGTGTTTTTGTCATGGTGGAGAAGTCCAACTACATATTTAATCAGTATCCACAGATTTCTAAACTTTATTGCAGCTTGTGTTGTCTGATACTTTGATTTAATTTTTTTTATAGATGGGCTATATCTTTTAGAGGTTAACCGGATTTTGCGCCCTGGTGGTTATTGGGTACTGTCTGGGCCGCCTATAAATTGGAGGGAAAACTACAGAGGGTGGCAGAGAGAGCCTGACGTTTTGGAAAAGGAACAGAACGTTTTAGAAGACCTTGCTAAGCGAATGTGCTGGAAAAAAGTTGCTGAGAGAGATGGTTTTGCAGTATGGCAAAAACCCACAAATCATATTCACTGCACCCAAATGAAAAGGATATGGCCATCCCCTGCGTTCTGCAACTCTTCTGATGCTGATGCTGGTTGGTAGGTTTCTTTATTCGAAGTTAGTATATTCTTGGAATAGGGACAACGACATAGAAAAATTGGAAATCCTCCGTTCAGCTAATTTTGTGCACAATGACCTTTCTATATGTGCAAAAATTAAGTGAAGTTTATTAATTAGGTGTTTGTTATCAGGTTTTCAAGAGAACATTTTTCAAAAACCCAATCAATTAGCGTTGAACTGTGAGCAATTTTATCTGTCACGTTTTTATTAGAAGATTTGACTGCAAATAACCACTCCCGAGTTTCCTACTAATTTTTTCTGTTCAGCGTCCATCTTGCATTAAATTTGGGATTTAGAGCTTTTTGTCATGTTTATAAATCCTTGATTGATAGGCATGAATTATTCAACAGGTATACAAAAATGACTGCATGCATTTTTCCTCTTCCAGACGTGAATGATATTCGTGAGGTATCTGGTGGTGCTCTGGAGAAATGGCCTGCAAGGTTAAACACTGCTCCACCTAGAATTAAGAATGAAACTGATGATGGGATCACAGTCAGAGTTTTTGATGAGGATACACAGGCATGGAAAAGGAGAGTATTGTATTATGAATCCATGCTGAAATCTCTCTCTTCTGGTAAGTATCGAAATGTCATGGATATGAACGCCTACTTGGGGGGATTTGCAGCTGCAATGGTGGAATACCCGGTTTGGGTCATGAATGTTGTTCCCTTTGATGCTGCACACAGAAATCTTGGTGTTATCTATGAGCGTGGCCTAATCGGGACTTACATGGATTGGTATAAACAGCTTCTTACTATACTTAATTTTATTAGTCGGTTGAAGTGTGCTTCCTATAGTTTGTTATAAAATCAAACCGGAAATTTATTTATTTTATCTTCAATGCCAGACATTGAGTTTTAAATACGTTTTTGTGGCTGAGATTATTGCAAATCTAGTCTGTTTTAGAACTTATATTGAGAAAGCTAAATGCTTAGTTGGGGTCTTCTGGTGAATTATGCATTGTCATTTCAAATGGTAAGATTTTTCAAAATAAAATATATTGTTGTGCTGGCCCATCACATTGTTATTCCTTTCTATCTATATTCAAGATCAAGATAATTGAATAGTGAACAGAGAAGTTACAACGAAGTTTTTTCTCCCTTTAATCAGGTCTTTATTTTCATTTTGTTTTTTGATTTTTCCTAGATGTACTTCCTACAGCCCTACTGACCTTCATTTTTCTCCTCTCGTGGACTTATAATGACAGATTCATGATTCATTTTGACTCTCCATGTGTTAGTTCATAGTATCAGAATGCATTCTCGGAGTTGGATGATGTAATCAATAATTTTTTTTTTTTTTTTTAACGTTTGTAGGTGTGAACCCTTTTCTACATACCTCGAACATATGACTTGATACACGCTTCTGGTATATTCAGTATGTACGTGGACAAGTAAGTTTTGTATTACAACGAATTGTTTGAGCCTGTTTACAATTTCTATTGCTCACGATTGCGTCATGTTAATGCATGATTAAAACAATCGGTTAATCTGTTATAAAAAAAAAAACAATCGGTTAATCAATGTAGATCTTATTCTCTTGGTAAATTAATGAAGATATCCATGTAACTTTTTTCTTTAATCCTAAGTTGCTGGAAAGCCTGGATTTTGAAGATTGAGGTTGGTCTCTCACCGGTCTCTGCAATGGCCAGCATATTTCAAAGTAAATCGACCTTGAATGAAAAACGGGCTAGCATGTGAATTGATTTATACTGTTCAGGTCTTCAGAACCTACCCGTTGTTATAATTGTTGTTTGCTGGAGACAAGAATTCCGTGTGGACAAAAATATTACTCATCTTCATAATTTGGCCCCAAGGGGATGGAAGATCTGCTTCTGATACGTTCATTAATGTTTATGTCATTTCACAGGTGCGACATTACTTATATACTTCTTGAGATGCATCGCATTCTTCGTCCTGGAGGAACTGTTATCATCAGAGATCATGCGGACATAATTGCCAAAGTAAGAGAATAACAGATCACATGAAATGGAAAGGAAATGTATTGCAGAGTGAGAATGGGGCTTCTGATCCTGCAAGGGTGCTGCTTATTGACAATGCTGAGTAATTGGTTGTATTATCAGTCTTGTTGCAGGCACAAAATGCGACTCACAAGTGATAAATCATCCTCGTATAATGTCCAGAACAGAGGAAAGCTTCGTCAACGAGCAATTTCATTTGACCGTAACGATCAGTAGTATATACAGTTTTATATCATACAGATGTTAATTGTCTCAGCTGTTGCTGAGGTTCTTGGAGGATCTTTGGTCAATTCAAGTGGCTTAGATGCAAGAAAAGCTGAAACCTCAAGTTCTGGGTTGCAATGGCGCTCCCAAATCGAGTGGATGATCTCTCTCTCTCATTCCCAAACATGTGTAAATGACATTTCTAGCGTCAAGTAGTTATTAGTTGAATAATGATTATTACAGATTCATATTGTTTTATTCTTCTGACTTGGATGGAGGTTGATGCTTAGCAGGTTGTAAGCCTCTCTTTCAAGCCTTTAACAATATTTGATTTTTCACATCAATTAGTATCTTTCCTGTGTTTTTTTTTTCCTTGCACTTAAATTGGGTTAATAAGAGAGTAACATCTTGTTTTATCTGTTTATGATTCTGAGAAATACTTTGGAAACATTTTCTTGACTCTTAGAATACTTGGTGGTTTTGGATTGCAAAAGCCAAGAAACAGCCCAAAACCGAGTTTATGCTTCATCTGAATAAGAAGGAAAACAAGGGGGAAATATGGAGAAGAAAATATTAGGAAAAAAAAATCCCAAAAATATTAAAAAAATTGAGTTTTCTCTCCTAGCATTTTCTTATTCATATTTTGTTTTTGTCCAGATTAAGGGGTTAGATTTGTAAAATGATCAAGAGTAGTTTCTTTTTTTTGGGCATCAGGAAATGGACTTGTCATCATGTCCAAATCCCCCAAGCGTGACCGCGAGATATATTCCGTTTGTGCGGATTGACGTCACTTGTCAATATCAATTGAGAGAAGCACAATTGAACACCCTCTCCTTTCTCTAACACCCCCTTTTTCAAATATCTTTTTTTCCCCAAAAATAACACACAGAATAATTGCTTCTAAAATTGTTAAGAGTTTGGTTATCAGCAACAAGCGAGCGCAAATTGCATAAACATGCAATGAGGGAGTTTGAGAACACTTATTTTAATTACTTTTATGTTTTGATGTGATGCCTAATTGACTTCAGGGCAGTTTCGATGGCAGTATAAATTATAAACAAAAATGGGGTCATCAAGTGCAAGTGCCTGTAACTGAACTAATGTATTGTGCAAAGCTTGAAGCGAATTATATTATTTATGTACGAGAAGGTTTTCTACGTGCCTGGTATTATGTACTATGCTGATGATGGAGTATTGATACCAAACACGCAATCTAAAGTACTCTATTTTTTTTAATGTTAAAGTTATGTATTTAATCCAGTGCTAATCTCTGAAGGTAGAAACGCCAAACATATGAAATAAATTAACATACCGTACGACCAATGGCCCGAACATTACAGGTCAACATTGGATGGCTTAAATTTCCCAAACCCTTGAAACGGTCTTAACCTTTTCCCCTTCGTCGGCTTACAAAACATGTCAACCCAGAGAGAAATATAATTTATACGGTGTTTAGAATTTGGAAGACAAAATTAACACATACCGTAAAATTATTTTAAAATTAAAATTTACAATGAGATTTTTTATCAAAATGCTACATATAGTAAAATAAATTATCACGATGCTATACTATGAAAAGTATTTCTCCAAATGTTATACTTAGACTTGTTCACCACAAAAACGAATTTGAATTTTTAAAGAAGTTGTTCAGAAGGAAAACAATTTTCATGTTTGACATTTTCCTTTTTAATAAAATCGAAAACTTGTTCAAAACATGAACAAGTTTAGCCTATCAGAACAAATACCCATTCCGTCAACAACCGCAAAACATGAACAAAACGTATTGCCATTGTCCGCCTCCTCTTTTCCTCTTTCATTTCAGCGAAATTTACAAATAAATACCCATTCCGTCAACAACTTCTTCCTTTTCTTTAATCTTCGGAGAGAATTACAATTAATGACCCAACTCTTCATTCTATGCTTCCAACAAAACGAAACAATACTATTAGATTTTATATTTTACAAGATATAAAAAAAATATAAATGAATTTTGCTTTATGTCCTAATAATTAAATTTTAAAAAATATACAAACTTTGAATTCTTAACCATTATCAATTGAGCTAGCTTGCTTTAGGTGGCTTTGATAATTAGTGTTAGGGGTATTCAATTTGTTCCGTTCCAGTCGTTCCGTCCCGGTCTCGATGAGTTCGGGACGGGACAGGATAAAAAAATTTTTGGAACGGGACAAAAACGGGACGGGATGATCCCGTCCCGTCCCGGGATTTTTTTTTCTTTTAAAAATTATTTATTAATAATTATTTTTAAATTATTCAATTTACTTATTAATAATAACTCTTGTTTTTATGGTGATTTGTAGCTCTTAAGTTGTAGTATTATCTCAACAAAATCCCCTTCTTCAATAAAATAATTCATAAATTCATTATATAGTGTTTTTTTTACGGTATTTTTTTTACAGTATTTTTTTTACACCTTTTTTATGCTATATAATTAAGCTTTCTACATAATATTTTTTATAATGTTTTTATCTTTAAAAGCCCAATAAAAAATAAGTATTATAACATAAAAAAATTCATATAAAAAATTATAGTATCTTTTTTTTTTTAAAAAAAAGGGGAAGCGGGACGTCCCGGTTCCGTCCCGGTCCCGACGGGACCGGGACAGGACCGGGACGGGACGGGACACGGGACAAAATCCCTGTCCCGTCCCTGTTCACCGGGACGGGCCTGTCTCGGTCTCGTCCCGTCCCATGAACACCCCTAATTAGTGTGTACTGTGCAATAAGATAAGTTATTTTAATTTTAAAATATTTTTCAATAAAACTGAATGGAATATTTTATTTTGGATTGTATAAAAATGCTACTAGTAAATCATTTGTTACTTTTATTATTAATCACACTAAAGGATTAAGTAATTATGACGTCATTTTATTGTAATTAATCTTCAGCAGTGTTGTTAATATAAGTTGATGACATTATTGAGTATATTTTCAAGATTTGCAGGTTTTGGCTGGCTAACCTATAAAAATTTTAGAGAAAACTTAGAAATTGATACCAGCTAAAATTATATCTTGTAAACAAATATTTACAATATATACTTAGATGCCACATGTATCGGGACAGTCTTGTCATCATTTAATTATATTAATTCAAACACATTTAATTTTTAGCCAATGGACAGATCTAAAATTAGACTATGAATATTGTTAAAATTTACACCCCTACTTAATAATTACACATCTAAAAGTGATCTATTTTGATTTATTATATATCTAAACAAGTTGTAATATGCTAAATTAAACTAAATTTTTTCTTTAAAAAATCAAATATAAATTATATTTCAATAAAGAGGTTGTTAGGAACAAGTGGGTCCATTAATTGCAATTCTCTTAAAGGCTAAAGAAAAAGGTAAAAAGTGTTGACAGAACGAGTATTTGTTGGTAAATTTTGCTAAATGAAAGGGAAAAAGAGGAGGCGATAGTGCCAATACATGCTCTGATAAGCTAAACTCGTTCATGCTTTGAACGAGTTTTCGATTTTGTTAAAAAAAAAATGTTAGACATGAAACTCGTAAACAAATTATTTGAAAATTCAAACTCGTTTTTGTGGTGAACGAGTTTAAGCATGGCATTTAGAGAAATACATTTCGTAGCATAGTATCATGGTAATTTATTTTACTGTGTGTATAGTATTTTGATAAAACTGTCATTTTAAATTCTGATTTTAAAAATAATTTTACAGTATGTGTCGATTTTAAATACAAGACCTATTTAACTAATTTGGTTAGATTAAAAAAGTCCGATAAGTTAGTTAATTATAAGAAATATGATATATTTTTCTTAAAACATTATAATCATTTTCGTTAATATCGTTCCGTCCTCTTTTACTTAATTATGGTGGAGGAAGAATTTATAAGGGTAATTTAGAAAAAAACTGATAAATATAAAAAATAAGTCATATTTAGGACTAAAATAACTTAATAATTAGATTCTACATTAAGGATCGGAGGAGTATGATTTATAATTAGGATGTAATTCATATACTACCTCTTCAAATCTTAATTATAAGACCTTATTTATAGAATACAAACGAGATTTTATAATTTGTACGGGTAGTGGTAGTATTACTTCTTCTAATTTTAAATAAAAGATCTATTTTATAATGTAAATTATAATAAAAAATTAGTATTATATTTAAAATTGGAGGACTATTTTACAAGAATCTGAGTTTTAGAATTTTGAGTTTTGGACGCGAGACCAGGAAGAATCTGGATGAATAATTCCCCGTTTGATTCAGAAAGCCTCCAATTTTGCCAAGCGAGTAGCGGCGCACTTTTAACCGCTCTGGGAAAAAAACCGCCGGCCCTCGCTCAGCGTTGTCGTCTCCGAACGCTCTACTGAAAGATAACATTCTGGACTGAAACAGTGGGACACTTAACCCCAGTTGTGACTTGCCCATTCTTCTTCTAGGGTATTGATCTCTCTCCCTCGCCGGTTCGTCAATGGCGACTGTTTTCCGTGGACACGTTCCATCGTCGCCCATAGTCTCCTCCATTTCCTCTCTCAACTCCAACAATCACTCTTCCCACACTCTCCTTTACTTCCCTCAAATCTCAAACCCCACATTTCCTTCATCATCCGCCATTATAACCAACTCAAAGGTTTCTTTTCCTAAATCCACTATCATTGCCTGTTCTCAATCTCAGAACAACACCCCCTCTCGCCGTCGCCCTGAATACATTCCTAGTCATATCCCCGACCCCAACTATGTCCGGATCTTCGACACCACACTCCGCGACGGTGAGCAATCCCCCGGAGCTTCCATGACCTCTAAGGAGAAAATAGACATAGCGCGCCAGCTTGCCAAGCTTGGTGTGGATATTATTGAGGCGGGTTTCCCTGCTGCATCCAAGGATGACTTCGAGGCTGTCAAAATGATAGCCAAAGAGGTTGGAAATGCTGTTGACGATGATGGGTACGTGCCTGTCATTTGCGGTTTATCCAGGTGTAACGAGAAGGATATTAGTACTGCGTGGGAGGCTGTGAAGCATGCTAAAAGGCCAAGAATCCATACCTTTATTGCTACCAGCGCAATTCACATGGAGTATAAGTTGAAAAAGACCAAGGAGCAAGTGATTGAGATTGCCCGGAACATGGTTAAGTTTGCTCGGAGTTTAGGCTGCGACGACGTGGAGTTCAGTCCCGAAGATGCTGGGAGGTTTCTCCCGTCCTTTCTTCTCGTGATTCTTCCCCTCTTTTTTTTTTTTTTGGGTTAATTTGCGCGATTTTGTTCATGAGAATAAGCATAGAAAGTTCATTTACAGAAAAGCAACGCATGCAATGGGTTTTGAATTCATTTAGGATGAAGGAGTAATCTTATTACAACTCCTTCCATCTAATTTTTATTTTTTGAGATATATTCAATTTTGGTTAGCTAATGAGGTGTGTTGGAGACCACTACTACTTTTGTTGTCGACTTCCATCTGACTCTTATCTGGTATATTCCTCAGATCGGACAGGGAGTTTCTGTATCAAATATTAGGGGAAGTAATCAAGGCTGGTGCAACGACGTTGAACATACCTGACACGGTCGGTATAAATATGCCTAGCGAGTTTGGAAAATTGATTGCTGACATAAAAGCCAATACTCCAGGAATTGAAAATGTTATCATTTCAACCCACTGTCAAAATGATTTAGGACTTTCTACTGCCAACACCTTAGAGGTATACCCGGATCTCTACAGTTTTTGCAGACAAAAAATAGATTGCATCTCCCCACTAAACTCAGCTGCTTTCAGGGTGCACGTGCTGGTGCAAGGCAATTGGAAGTAACAATTAATGGGATAGGTGAGAGGGCTGGCAATGCATCATTAGAAGAGGTGAATTTCAATCTTGAATGGCCCAAACGGATGTAATTACTATTACTGAAGCATAGACACAACGCAACACAAAGTTTTAAGTTTTCATTATGTAATTTATCTGAAGGATTTATTGCTCTTCAGTCTTCGCTATGAGTAGAATTAATACTGCCAGGCAACATCACATAGTCCGCCACTAAATGAGACGATATTGTGTCCTAGGGCATCGTTAACATCAGAAGTAGCGTCCTTAGTAGTTAGGCACAAAGAGTTAGTGATCCAAAATAAAATATTTAGATATAATGAGATTTGAGTTTCAAGCAAGCAAGGTGATTTTGAAGTTCTGGAAATTTTGAAATTTCCCTTCTCTAAGAAAATGACTTTATTTTATTAAGAAACCTGAGTTTCCTTAAGGTGGAAACTATGAAAATGTGGATCCATACTCTTTCACGGCAAGAGCTTCATGCTAGGTTTTTTTGTCTATCCTTTGCAGTATTGTATCATATATTCATATGTGGAAATGGTTACTGCGCTGCACAGGCTATTTCTGTTCTCCTTGACTCTTGTTCATTGTTACTCTGCATCTTAGTTATGCCTTTGTGTACAAAAGAGATTGTGTTCATGCATCTCGCATGACTAAATTTCTTATCTTGAATTTCTCAATCATTCTGTAACTGCATAGATTTCGCAATGTCCACAAAGCCTCTTCACTTTTGTGAACATTTCACTCAATATGCTCATGTGGAACCCACTACTTGCAGCTATCATTGCAAAATTTTGTGTGTTCATTGCCCTTGTTTTAATATTTTTCTTAACAAATACATTTTTCAAAGATAGTAACAGCCTTGTCTTACTTTTTCTTTTAAGGTTGTGATGGCTCTAAAATGTGGGAAAGATCATGTCTATGGAGGTCTTTATACAGGAATTAATACACGTCACATCTATTTGACAAGCAAGATGGTTTTGTATCAAACTATTATTTTCCTTTACTTTTCTTTAATCTTTTGTTTTCAATTAATGACTTTTAATGTTGGTTTTTACCGTCTTTCTTAATAGGTTGAAGAGTACACTGGTTTGCAATTGCAGCCACACAAGGCTATTGTAGGCGCTAACGCTTTTGCTCATGAAAGTGGCATTCATCAGGTTAGCGTCAAATTGACTGATGCATATATGCCTATATAAGGTGGTTAAGACTCTGGCGCAATTACTGTATGCTTTCCTGTGCTTATATTTTGTACTTAAAACTATTTACAATTGAATATGAGGTTTCACCAGTAATTTTTTGAGGAGAAAGCTTTACTATATCATCCTAACAGCCCCTGTAAGACCTTAGAGATGCGTCAGGTTTTTCTCTGGGTGCATGTTAATGTTTAAGCAGGCTCATCCCTGAGAGAACCTTAAAATAGTATCTGTTTTGTAGGATGGAATGCTAAAACACAAAGGTACATATGAAATAATGGCTCCAGAGGATATTGGGTTTGAAAGATCCGATGAAGCTGGTATTGTTTTGGGGAAGCTTAGGTATGCTATTTACTCATTTCTGGTTTTTCGAACTTTTGTTTTTATCTTTGTGTCTTCTGGTCCGTGCTCATACCTGTGTAATGTTTAAATTGTTTGGAATTATTATCTCATAAACAGACCGTTGTATATCTTTTCAATATTTGCTATCTGGATGGTTTGGAATTACCTCTAGCTGCGAGACCCTGACTTTTTATGGGTCTTATATGTTCAACATGTCTTTACCATGGTATCAGTATTTTACCAATTCTAATGCAGTGCGGCAAGTTAATTGTGTGAAGTTTAAATTGTGTTTTATATGAGTTAAGATGTGAGATCCTTATCTCATGTTTTTAATTTACATTTTCCATTTTCAAAACATGGCACTGAATTCTTCCATATGTTAACAAACTGGCTTACTCATGTCTCATGGGTTTTATGCTTTGATTGAAACACGTGGGCATGGGTACAAGCCGTTAGGACCTGTGAAATTGTGATTTTCCCAAGAAATCAATTCTTCCATATGTTAACAGGGTGGAGCAGGAACTCTCTTTGTAGTTCCTTGTTGGCTAACTTGATGAAAATGGACCGTTATATTAGCTATAGCTAAATGAGAAATCCTGTTATCACTTAGTGTGACCAGGAAGATGTAGTGTTGCAGATAATGTGCATCTGATATTCTTTTTGCTTTGGATGTGAGAGTACCCTTGCCAATTTAGCTTTCCCAGCCTAATTAAGTCTCATAACCAAACTGTTAATATGGGATGCTTTATGTCAAGTTAGCTCGGCTTGATCATTTGAGAGGTGTATGAAGCTTTGAATTATTTTCAGTGGTGTCCGTATTGTTTGAAAACATTGGAAGGCCCTTTTCTGTATACTACAGAATTTATGGGAATTCTGTAGTTTTCTTTAAGATTTACTATTGTTAAATATCCATCACTGACTAATTGGCAATCTATGGCATCTAATATTTACTCTCAGAAACACATTTATTTCACTTTGAGGTTACAGACGTTTTGTGCTGTATCTATCAATATTTGAATCAAGATCTTTTTTTCTTCTGTTGTTTTTTTAATTTTGTTTATTGTAAACTCTTTTCTTGATGTCCTTGTATTCCCTGAGGTCTTATGCCATCAATATGTTAGCTTTTGTGTCTTCTCAACAAACATGACTGCTTCTTTTGATGCAGTGGGCGCCATGCCTTAAAAAGACGGCTTGAAGAGGTATTAAAATATTTGTGAGTTAAAGATTAATTCTATATCCTTCTTGCTTTTATGAATTGTTCTATTTTGTTTCAGCTTGGTTATGAACTTAAAGAAGACCAAGTTGAAAATATGTTTTGGCGTTTCAAAGCAGTCGCTGAACAAAAAAAGGTATATATGATAAGTCATAAAGTTTCCTTACCTTGCTTTCCAGGCTTACTGATTCTAAAGCCATTAGTTTAAACTAGTGTCTAGGTGTTTTGCTATTTGATGTTATATGTTGAGCATTTAATATTGATTGGCCTCTTCATTCTCTCTAGAACCAAGGCTAATGGCTGAGATTTTAAATTCTAGATCTTGGGGATGCATGCTGGTGTGAATAATTATTTTTTTTAACTGATTCTTACCATTAAGGTCTCATCTTAGTAATATTTCTAGTACATGCCGTGTAAACTTCTAAACATTAAAAGTGAGTTTCTGGTGCCTAAGCGGTCAGCTGTTTCTTAACATTTCTTAACAGTCTATGCTACATTTTCTTTTTTCTTGTGTTCGTTGCTGAAAATGAATTTGATTAGGGTTTAACTTGGATGTGATTTTTGTTGTCTTCAGAGAATCACTGATGCTGACCTACGAGCATTGGTATCAGATGAAATTTTTCAGGCCGAACCTATCTGGAAGTTTGAGGCTTTGCAGGTAAAGTGTAATTTGCATTGAAATTTGATGTTTAATGTTATAGCTAGGCATTGCTGGAACAAACCAAATTGATCATTGTCTATCCAGTGCAGGTGACATGCGGGACTCTTGGCCTGTCGACAGCAACTGTCAAACTTATTGATGCTGATGGTCAAGCTCATGTTGCTTGTTCTGTTGGTACTGGACCAGTGGATTCAGCTTACAAGGCTGTTGATCTCATTATAAAGGTTTGAAGTTTTATACTTTTATTCTGTTATTTACTCCCGCCGGTACTATATATAAGGCAGTTAAAAGGAGGGCTTTTGTGATTCTTTTTATAAGGTATCACATTAATTATTTATTACAATTTGTTCCTTTTACCCCTATTTAATGTTGACGTAGGAAAGTAGGAAATTTTTCTAAGGATGCATTTAATATGGGCAAAGTAGAAAAATCCTTTAATTTTTGGACAGAGTTAATGAGTTTTAAGGTTTTTTTTGGCTCTAACAAAAATTTATATGGTATTGGAGGGAGTAGTTAATTTGAAAACTTATCAGCGTCCTTCATGTGCAAGTCTCATTTTACGGGGAAGACTGTCAAAGTTGCTATGGACTTTTATTTTGTCCCCAACTTACTGTATATGAAGAATCAGAAGGATGAAAATATATATATATATATATATATATATAAAAGAGTTTTTATTGAGTCTACATCATCATGGGTGTTGTTTTGCTTCCACCATATTTCTGGCACGTGGAAATCATTGTGTGTTGCAAACTTTGATTTCCACATTTTTCTTGTATTTATATTTACTGGGATTATGCATAAATTGTTTAACTCAATGTGACGGAGGAATCTTCTACTTTCATTTGTGTGCAGGAACCAGTGGCACTTTTGGAGTACTCGCTGAATGCAGTTACAGAAGGCATAGACGCAATTGCCACAACCCGTGTTGTAATTCGAGGGAAAGCAAGACATCCATCGACCCACGCGTTAACAGGAGAAACAGTTTACAGAACATTTAGGTAATGTTGATTTCCGAGTGCATTGCTTTGTTGTATTTTGTTGTTGCCACAAATTGACAGATGCATTTTCTGCTCTTTGGTCAGTGGCACGGGGGCTAGCATGGACGTTGTTGTGTCAAGTGTCAAGGCTTATGTTTCTGCAGTAAACAAGATGTTGGATTTCAGCGAAAAGTCCATCTCAGCTGAAAGAACCAAAGTTGCTGTATGAAGCAGTTATGGTAAGAACAATTTTAAGTCGAACCTTTTCAGGTATCTGCAGTTAGGTTATTTAATATAATAACATGGGAAAAGAACTTTCTCAAAAGGCCTTGTTATATGATGGTGAGACGAAAAATATTTATCACATTTAAAAAAGAATCAATCCCAAATGCCTACAAAATGTATCCAATATTTACTCAACTTTATTCCTGATGCTGCTTGGATCACAGCGCTTAGTGATTTCCTGGTATCTGTGGAAAGAGGATCAAGTGCTCACTGGATAGTTTGAGCTAATTGGAGCTTCCGGATCTTTGTCTAGCATCTCCATGCTTGTGGATTGGGACTGTATTCTAGAACTTGCTAGTTATACAGCAGCAATGTTCGCTGTAAATGTTGGGATCTAAGATTGGGGGTGATATTTTTGCACGGATATAATTTTCTTTTTTGAGGATTTGGAAAGATATTTGCAGACATATTTGAGTGTTTTATGAAAAATTAGAAAGCAAGTGACATGAACAATTTGATTTCATGTTTCATATTCGCCTTCCTCTATCGTTGAAACTGCTTGGGTTAGATATGAAACCTCACAAATTTGATCACCGCAGCGCAAATCTTCAATTCCTCACCTGTGTTTCTTCAGTTTGCGAAATTGGGGTATGCAAAGGAAAAGCAAATCGCAGAAATTAGAAGCAAAGTGAGGATAAGTGGATCAAGATGGGGGGTGATAAAGCAGAGGGGCTAATGTGACCGTTTGACTGTTTTGACCTTCCGTTTTTTGTCTAAATAAGAAAAAAGAACAAATTACTTTGCGACACCTCAACGGATCCTGGGTCTTCCACGTATATGCATGAGCCTGCATCATGAGGTCAACACGCGTTTCGTACCCGATGTGTTTTATAGTTATTGGACTTTGATATGACTAAGGTCCTTTCCTCAATTTTTGTTTGCCAACAGGCCTTTTCCTCAATCTGAATGTGGGGGCTACATAATTTATAGAGATTATTCTAAAATATTTTGATTAATTATTTCTATTAAAAATATTTTTTAATGAAATTAATATATGCAATTTACATGAATGATTTGAAAAAAAAAAAGTAAATTTAGATGATAAAGTAAATTAAACCTTATATTAACAACTAAAAAAATTACTCTTCCGTTTTTAAATATAAAACTCATTTTATAATATAAAGGATCACAATAGTATGTTTTATACCTTTTACCTTCTTAAGTTTACTCAAGATATTATTTGATATTAAATATTCTCATTTTATTAGATTCAAGCCCGTTGGGATACGGGTCTAGGTTTTCTTCAAAAAAAAGGTTTTGCGCATGTCCGGCTTCATTGCACTTAGTAAACTTTTCTGTTATTTGAAATGGGCTCAAATTCTTCATTTTGTTAATAATAATAGGAAAAACTGTAATAAAGTCCCAAGAGTTGATTTAGTTAGTAAAGAGTCAATTCATAATCTATAAGGTCGTGAGTTAGAATCCCGTTATTGATGTGAGGACTTTGTTGATAGGCGATCTGTAAGTATTTCTATAAACACTCTCTGAGTCTGGAGATATACCCTGGCTCTGGTGAGTCCTCGGGGATCCAATTCACCTAAACTTTATTGTACAAAAAAAATTAAATACAAAAAAACTCTTAAAACCATCACATTAATCTGAAGTCTCAAAAGGTATCATTGTAAAAAAATTTATCTGTTTAATTACCAAATTGCTCTTTTTTAACGTATGAATTGATAGTTAAAAGTATAGTTATTAACAATTTAAAGTGTAATGATTAACACTTATTGTGGAAGATATTAATAATTCATGCATTTGCATTTTTGTAATGCGCTAAAAAATGTGTTACTAATACTTATCGCGATAGTTGTTAATCGTTACGCCTTAAGTTATTAATGACTGTTTTTTTAGTTATCAATGCATACTTAAAAAAAAGCAGTTTAATAATTGAACAAATAAAATCTTTTGTAATAAGATCTATTAGGACTTCAAAATAATTTGATAATTTGAAGGGATATTTTTATATTTAATTCTTTTAAATGGCACCTTAGTACAGTTTTCCCATAATAAAATGCCCTTTTGTTTTGTCTCTCATTAAACTATATTCGTGCCCAGGAATCTGCAGCTTACTTGTCGCCCTAAATTCTTTATTCTTTTGGTTATTCAGGTGAGAGAGAAATATTTAACCAAATGATCAAACTTCGAATATTTCTGAAGTGGGACACACGGCCTCCGCAACCCAACGAAGCCGTAAAACCAATCTGCAACAATCTGATGAGTCTTTTGTTTGGACGATAACACAGTTAATCCGCATACATTATTATGAAGAGAGAGAGAGAGAGACAGACAGACCCAGACAATTGATAAATTATTATTTGCCTATTTTTATTTTTTTGCCAGCTATTTATATTACATGTTAAGCCCATAGTTTTTTCGCCAACCAGCGATTGAAAACAAATTATTAATTGTTCAAAGGGCAATTATATTTTCAATTTTTTTTTTTGCACGAGAACGAGTCATGGTTCGATGTCTTAAAGCGAGTCATTTTTTTTTTTGGGGAAAATACATAAATTGACCATTAATTTTAAGCTTTTTTCACCGCGTTGTTTCTCAACTCTCACTGTAGAAAAATTACCACATAAATTTCTTCACTTTCACAAAATTTCATATTTATGATCATTTTACGTCCTTTCTCTTAGACATAATTCGCTAAATTTTATTAAACTACACGAAGGTTTTTAAAATTAAGTCTACCGAATTTTAAGTTCCTTATTGTCTTTTTTAAAAATAAACCTCATGATTGAAAAATTACAGCTAACGTCTTTTTTTAAGTTGTAAGAATATCAAAACTATGGCTGTTAAATCTTAAAAATTTTAATATAAACATATTTTTATTTGAAAAAAATTAAATCTGTTTAGGTCATATGATGCTAGCTTAGATAGAATGTGACGTCCGTGGACATGATATTAAGGATTCAGATTTTTCCGATGCATGGAAATTATTTTTTCTTTAAAAAAATAATAACTTGATATAATCGTTCATTCTAAATAAAATACTGTTAAGTTGGGTTCCTTGTGTGTGATTTTTCCCAGTTATCATTTCAAAGCAAAATAGTATAAAGCCGAGCTTCGCTTATGGGCTACAGGATCTTCTTCTTCCTTTCTTGAAACGCAACGAAAGAGGAGAGAGAGTGAGTGAGAGTGGTTATCTATTTGAACCTTTACACCGCGTTGCTTCTCTGTCTTTCGCTCGCACCCCAAAAGCTAAATACCAAATCAAACCCGTCAATCCATCTGTCTCTATCTCATTGTGGCTTCCGCTTCCCCCACCAACGCATACTCAAAGCGTCAATCCCATAAAAAGAGAAGCGTGAAACCGAAAGGTATCTCTTCTTTTCTCTCACCTTAACACCTGTAATTTCAAGTTCTGATCTGCGTCTAATTTTGGTTCGCCAATCTGTCATATCCTTATTTCTACTTGTTCGGTTTATTCCATTTCCCACTATTTTTGTTTAATCTTGTTTACCCGTTTGTATTTTCAGGACTTTGCTAGATTTTCCTATATTTGGCTGAATTGTTAGCTCATATTTGCGCACTTGGTTGTTAAATTGTTGTTTGCTTTTGTGGGTTTTGATTCTCTTAATCTTTTGGGTCCTTGGCTGTCGTGCGTTTGTCAAAATGGAATCGGATTGCTGATTTCATTTCTGGGTTGTGCTTCCCATTGATAATTGCATTTTAAAATTTCCGTGTTCCTTTTTGATGGACGAAAGAGACTTCCGTCGTCGTAATCCGATGGTAAGATATGTACATGGTATTATCTCCATTTATTTGGTTCTTTCAGGCGCAAATATCTGTTGAATTGTTCAAAGTCTTACCCGATGATTTTTTTTCCTCCCCCAACCTCTGGTTTATTTTTCAAGCTTTTCTGAACTGCTACTTATTCCCCTCAGCCGGTTCCTATGTGTTACATCTCAATCTGAAATTCGTTATATGTTGAATGTATCTGCTCAAATGTAGGATTTTGACTCAGCTCTGTTCAGAACAGAACACAATAATTTTCTGGACCCATTGGACAGTGAATTCTATTCTGTTGATGTATTTTCGTAATGATCCTTTAGAGGCACTAGAGCTTCTCTGCAATATTTCAAATATCTTATTCTAAAATTTCTTCGTTTATTTATGTTTGACATACACGTATTTAGGGATGGCATTGAGCGAAGATTTTATTTTTAATTTATGGTTGGTAAATTTTTTACTTCATGTTGATGGAAAATGTGTTGGGGGAGTTGGACGACGTTCCTGCATTAGGAACCAAAAATGTCAAGCATAATGTCTGGTCGTCCATTACAACCATTCTCACTTTAATTGGAAAACGCTTGCGCCAGATAGAGAACTTCTTGTCAACTTCTCCTTGACCATTACCAATTTATTATTATTTTTTTAATGACATCTTTTATCAGTGATTTTTTCTGTTGCTTCTATTAAGTAAATTGCTAAATAACTGCTGACAAACTCATAACATTTCAATATAATTGACAGTAGTAGATTATGTATTTGTTCAGGAAGTTCAGTTTTCAAGTGTTTCTGCATTGAACCTCTGTTCATCTATGTTGGGGTTATTAATGCTTTCTGTGGCATGGTGCAGGCACATGCTTCTCCTCCTAATTACTTTGTTCGCCTGGAGAATACAGCTTCCAAAGACGATTTATATTTGAGAAAGAGGACCGGGATGCGTCGGTGGCTTTGTTGTTCTTGTCATGTTGAAGAGCCTTACCCTTCTGAAAACGAGCACCTTAAAAGCCCAAGGAATTATGGAGATGGTAGGTCTTGATATGTCTCAGTCTGTAGTTGCAGTAAACTTCTTGATTGGAAAACTGTAAAGGGAGAGTTCTGCTTGTCAAACTGAAAAAAAGGATAGTTCTGCTTGTCAAACTGAAAAAAAGGATAGTTCTGCTAGTTTATGTCATTGAACAGACTTTATCCATTGGTTCAACTTCACATTTCTGCTGTCCTTAAATTGCATGGTTTCTTTCAGGTTAAAAGTCTATATGAATATGACAACAGGGGTCTAATGACTTGTGTGTTATGTATGACTCAGAATGATATTGGCATGTGTTTGTAATATAATATGTTTTCAATCATTGCTTAATTTCAGTTTGCTGCTTTATGTCCCTGTAAATGCTTCTCATATGCCATATTTTATGTATTTTCTAGGTAACCCAAAAGGTTCAAAGGCTTCAGCTCCTGTTAAAGCTGAAACACAAAAGGCTGCACCACCTATTGAAGTGCCAGCATTAGCTTTAGATGAACTGAAAGAAATGACTGACAACTTTGGATCGAAGGCATTGATTGGTGAAGGATCTTATGGGAGAGTATATTATGCAACTTTAAATAATGGAAAGGCTGTTGCTGTGAAGAAGCTTGATGTTTCTTCGGAACCTGAATCCAATGTTGAGTTTTTGACCCAGGCATGTCTTGAACTTTAAAACTTTTGTAAATTATTGCTTATTGTCTTGACGTTAATTTCTAATTTGATGTTCCTTGTTTTAGGTTTCTACCGTCTCAAGAATGAAGCACGAAAATTTTGTTGAGCTGCATGGTTATTGTGTTGAAGGAAATCTTCGTATACTCGCATATGAGTTTGCAACCATGGGCTCTCTTCATGACATATTGCATGGTATGTTGTGCCATTTCATTTGTGGACCTTTTCTTCCAAGAATTTCCCTGAAAAAATTTGGTCCTTTCTTGCTCTATAGGTAGGAAGGGAGTTCAAGGGGCACAGCCAGGACCAACCCTTGACTGGATGCAACGAGTTCGAATTGCAGTTGATGCAGCAAGGGGGTTGGAATATCTACATGAGAAAGTTCAGCCGCCTATCATACACAGAGATATCCGATCAAGCAATGTACTAATTTTTGATGATTACAAAGCAAAGATAGCTGATTTTAATCTTTCAAATCAGGCCCCTGACATGGCTGCGCGTCTTCATTCCACTCGAGTTTTGGGAACTTTTGGCTATCATGCTCCAGAGTAAATTTCCAAGACCTCCTTATTTTCCATTTTATATATTTATGTCGTTAATGTTTTGTTTTGGTGAGATGTTTTTAATTCTTTTTTAATCTGGCTTATCATTTTTGGACACCACTGCAAACTTATAACCTCTTAAGTGCTCTCAACTGTTTAATTTGGTGATTATTTTGTTAGATGTGTTTTAAGACATGGACATCTCTTGCAAGTTATAACCATGTTTCCCCCCGATTTTTTGATTTGATGCATGAATTTGTGCTTTAAAGTTTTGCCCCACTTTCTTTCCTTCAAGTATGGGTGTTGTTATTAATTTTTAAAAACATCATGTATTATATTGTACATCTGTTTGATTTATATGCTTTTGGAGATTGTTGCAATTTTGGGGGATGTGTGACATCTATGTCCTTTTTGTTATGATCGATGACGTTTTATTCCTTTACCCCCCTATAACCACATCAGCTCTTCGGTCTCTGTTTTTGTGACTTGAGTGTTGTATTGGTAATGAGCTCATTTTGTTGAACTTTACAGGTATGCAATGACTGGTCAGTTGACTCAAAAAAGTGATGTCTACAGTTTTGGTGTTGTTCTTCTTGAGCTCCTTACAGGGAGAAAACCTGTTGACCATACCATGCCTCGAGGACAGCAGAGTCTGGTTACATGGGTTAGTGCACCTGCTTAAACTTACCCCCCCTATATGTTATGATTCTTCTGCATTATATTTATAGTACCTACGTCTTCTCTCTCTCTTTATATATTCTTGTTGTAAACAAATTTGGATAGGCTACTCCGAGATTGAGTGAAGATAAAGTCAAACAATGCGTGGATCCAAAACTGAAGGGAGAATATCCTCCCAAAGGAGTCGCAAAGGTATCTAACTTCCCTCCCTCTTTTCCCCTTTCTCTTGGACAGTACTTTAGAACTTCTATTTCGGTTCTCGATTAAAAGCATATGGAGGGAAGTTTTTGGAAGTTTCTACTTCCAAGTTCCAATCATGCGTGTTGGGTTGTAATTGCAAGTATCATCCATTTGTCATGATGTTATTGAGATCCCCCATAGCAAATATTTAAAGAGCTGCATTCTGGTTTTGTACCTTTTTCTCTATAAAAATGGTGCTTGGTCCAATGGAAAAGCTTGATGCTGACTATGATTACCATTGTGACTTTGCAGCTGGCGGCTGTTGCAGCACTTTGTGTGCAGTACGAAGCCGAGTTTAGGCCAAACATGAGCATCGTGGTCAAGGCGCTGCAACCACTTCTGAAGGCTCCTCCTGCTCAAGCACCGGAAACTTGAAAACAAACTAAACCCACTCTTCTTCCAACTTCTTGGAATCTGAGTTGTCTGCACAGTTTGGTTCTACCATCTCCGGATTTCATCAAATACTTCATGCACACATTCGTATATAGACATATGTTTTTAAATTTTTTCGAAGATTGGATTGGGTGTGTAGGATTTGATTGGTCCTTATCATTTCATTTGTTTAGATTTTGCATTTCTGGAATTGTACTTTGGAGTGCCGAGTTTTAAAGAGACAGAGGAAACCATGGGGTTTGGGTTGTGACGCACTAATTGCTGACTTCTCTCCTATTTATGATTCCACGCTGATCTTCCCTTTTGTTCTTCAGATTATCATTGGGCTTTTCATATATTTGTATGTGTTCTCTTAATTTGCTGCCCCTGTTCAGTGCCTTGTTGCAATTTCACGGGTCTGAGCTATGCATGTGTGCACCAATGGGGCAAATACATGTTTTATTTTATGTGCAAGTTCTTTTAATGGGAAACGATACTTTCATTACAAACACAAAACTAACACAGTACCAACAGAAGGCATTAGTCTTGAGTTTACTCTTCCATGTCAAGCTGCTCACCAGAATACGTAATTTATTGTGCATATGCATGTATAAGTGAATCTGTGAGGATGTTGGGCGTTAAAGTAATTTGGAAGTTACGGGCGGGATCTTTTTTACACAAACAACGTACTATTATCGTTTTCTCGAAAAGCAAGCTCTCTTGGCTCTGCGAATCTTGGATGAGGACCGATGCCTTTTCTTTTTTTTTGCCTATTTATATTTTTATATAATTCTAAATTAATTATCATAATTTGAAATTTTATAGTCGATGTTTATTTAAGATTAATAATAAATAAAAAAATCCACATCATATAAAAATCATCTCATGATTTTCCAAAAAAGATTAATTGTTTGCCAATGAAGGTCCAGTTGCATGGAGATTTCAAATCAACCTCAGCCCTTACACGTGCTTCCTTTTTTTTTTTTTTTTTTTGAAAGACCGGTGATTGAAAGAAAATACTTGGCTTGTCTTTTCCGCGCCTGGGGGCGGCACGAGTGAAAATTGCTTGATTCCCAATCCAATGACGAAACTGAAATTGGCGATAAACAAGAAGCAGCAATTTGGGTTAGAGTCACAGAAGCAAGCAAATTTACATCTACATGTCCTCCTCTCCCTCTCCTTCTTCCCAACATGTCTTTCCTTCCTCTATTCCTCTCTGTAGTCTTCAATCCCCCGTTGTCTCTCGTTGGTTCCGTCCTCGCCCTCGTTCTCGCAGACGGCTCAAGAACCTCACCAACCTACCCACTCTCATCTCCACCAAAACCTCTTCCGATCCTAAGCTTCAAACTGTCATCGACATTAATTACCTGACTGCCCAAGCTTCCTCCTCTTTCCGTACTCTTTTCCCTTCTCTGGAGTCCTATCTCAGCGATTTCGTTTCTTCCGGTGTAGAGGCTTATAGGGATTTACAAACCTTAATCACCATTGATGAAAACCGTAGAGTTGTGCTTTCTTGTCGCCCTTCAACGCTGCATTTTATTGGCACTGCAGCGGTTTTGAGCTTCGTCTCGATTTCTATCTTGAGGGCTTTGATCAAGTTGGTTTCTCGGTTTCGGCTTTGGGGTCGAAATGCGTCTGCGGACGCTCCCTTGGTGCGGAGGGACCGGAGTCTTGGGGGGAAAGAGGTCATTGTTGGCTGGAACAATAACACCAACCCTCACTCGAGGGTCTCAGCGAATCCATTATCACCGTCTCAGATGTCTGTGCCGGGCATTCCGAAGAGAGCCGCTGAGAGTAGAGTACGGGTTGAAGTGAAGTTGCCCCAGTGGTGGCCGACTCGAGTAACGCGTGCCGTTTCGACAGAATACGAGCAGGAATATAGAAGGGATGCTTACAGAGTAGTTCGAGGTACGGCTTTTCTTTCTGAGATTTTCTTTTGTCCACTATGTGGTTTTTCGTTTTGCTCAGTCTCTTGGGATCTCCTGAAACTCTTATAAATGAAAGAAACGGGAGATAAGAAGTGGATGAAATTTCTGATTGTTTCGGTCTGACAAACTCATTTCTCGCTTTGTAGGATTGGTAATTTTCATAGTCCACATCATCTTACGCTAGCAATCTCTGGCATATATAACAATCTCGAAAATATCTAAATTTGGTCGAGGGCTGTGACGAGTCTGCATGAAGTCGTTTCATTTGACAGCTTGATTCATGGTTCCATGTATATGATTAGAACGTCATAAAAACACAAGCACTCCTCCTGATTTACATTCTGGATCTTATGTTTTGTATGTCCCATGGTCCGTTTCTCTCAATCTTTTTAGTTCAAGTCTGATGTGGTCACATAAGGAGCATATTGATGTAAATGTAATGCTTTGCTTTGTTTGGTGCAATCCTGTTTCCGTATGCACCATTTCTGTTCTTCAGTGTCCCTTTTATGACTATCTATCTGATGCGATCTTCTTGGGAAGCCTTTTCAAGCTATGCTTTATTTTGTGCAAAGCTCCTGAGCATTAGGTTGAGATGTGTTAGTTGATCCAAAGAGTCCAAACGCCCCCCCCCCCCCCCCCCAAAAAAAAAAAAGAAAAAGCCCCCCACACAAAAGAAGGCCGTGGGGCAGCACTTTTTTTGTCTACCATAACACACACACACACACGCCTTGTATCCCTGAGCAATTTGCTTTGCCCTTGTACTATGATTCTGATTCTTATTATTTTTAAAGGAATTTGTACGATGGCCAAATTAGAGTGAGCTTGTTATTTGATAAAATTTTTTTTGAAGATGATGTAAATAAAAGTTTTTGGAAGATGATGTAAATAATCCCTGATGTGGCTTCTGTCATCTCGATTGGAATAATAGCTCTGTCAAGTATTTTGTCTGTTGTATAACTTTCATTTTGCCATCTCTTGTTAAATATGATTTTATATATATACTTATCCTTTTTGTAGGTAAAAAACCATTCCTGATTTCCATACTTTACTATCCTTTAAATCAAAATTTCAACTTATTCACTTAATTTCCAGCAATCAAGGATAGTAGAATGGGCGGAAAGGACATCAAGGAGGACGAGATACTTCAAGTCAGTTTTTTGGTGATTTACTTGATTTTCAAATGATGTATGTAGCTGGGCATAGTATTTTTGTTTTTCTAGGTTAGGAATTATTTTATCTATATAAATGTTATGCTTCCATCAGGAAGCTTTTTGTTCCTTGATAAACTTTTCAACCTCTGCTTCATAAAGGTTACCATTGGCTCTCTTTCCTAACATTCTTTTGGAAATAGTTTGTTGCTTCTGGAAACTACTTTTGTTTTCCCTTTTTATTTAACAAAAATGCTGTGTATACAGCACATATTTGTAGTATTTGCACTATCTTAAATATTTGATTACTAAAACAATTCATATATTCGGGGGTTAGCTTAGATTGTAAGGGGGATTGTATTTTTGAGCTGTATATGATTGAAATGCGTTCATGCCTTATCCAACCATTTTATAACACATTGAAATCTTCTTTGCCACTACACATGAGCAGTTACGTCAAATTTGCAGAACTTCCGGAGTGCAAGTATCTGTTGACCCGCCAAACCTACGGGATTCCTTGTATCGAGCGTCTGTTGAATTTGTTTTGAATATTTGTGGCAGGTATGTTGTTATACCATTGCTCCTGCATTTATGACATCCTCTTTCCTTTTACTGTTAGTCATCTCCTTTTGTCTATGCTGATTAGTGCCGGTTCTGTAAATTATGTAATTACTGGTTATTTCATCTTTTCAGGGCACCAAGGTACTCTACTTCAATTGAGATTAATGGTGAGGATTCTCGAGAATTTCTTGCTGGGTTTGCTGAAAACATTGGGCTTGAAAATATTCGTGCTGCAACAATTGTGTCTGCCGCTGTTGCTGCACGTACACGCTCTTGTCTTCTTCAGGCCTGGGTACTTTACTGCCATAATTCTTGCGATATAATATTCTCGTTTCTATTTGAATCTTAATCAAATCTCATTTCCAAAATTAATTATAGGCAAAAGCAGTTAAAGTATTGGTTTTCTGTATTAACTTTTTGCGAATGTGCTAACCGTTTATTAACTGTTTGGAGCTGACCATAATATCTCATGTTTGCAATATTTTGAAAATTACAAAACCTTGTGATGAGGAAAATTTACCTGTAAAAAATCTATGATTTTTTTTTTCCTTGGTTACTAACCTTTTCCTTTACAAGTTAACACAAAGTGAACTATGTATCACTCCACTTTATTAACTTCTTCATTTATTGAAGTACTGTTAATGTATATGCTAGTGATTTTTTCTTTGTTGACTGAATAAGAAAGTCTTTCGTTGAATCTAATAATATTTAATTCTTAGTCTATATAAAGACAAATGTGATTTTGTGCCTTTTTTTCCCTGCCAAAAGTAGTGTAACTTTCATGTTTGAATCCTTGAACTTTCAAACCGTCCGTGTTTCTAGAAATTTTGTATGGATCATATTGATTTTTTTTCCCCCTTCATAGTCATGCTTATACTTGGTGTGCTTTCAATCACAGGCTCTGGAAATGCAAGGTAAACATGAAGAAACTAAGTTGGAACTGTCAAAAATATGCCGCCTTCTGCGTATATTTCCTCCTGAGGATTCCTCAGTAAGTGTCTTTAACACTGTTTTTTCCCCCCCGGAGGCAAAGTTTTCTGTTTTAGCACGGTTAGTCTTGTGGGTTTCCTCCAACGATTATTAAAATTTGAGGGGGTTGCTTATGAGATGGTTTTCTTCAATTTTATTTTTTAAAAGGCATTTATGTTTTGTGTACATCCTATCTAGTCATTTGTGTTACTGGGCCGGTGCCTCTTGATTTCGGAATTAAGGTTTGTTACTTTAATTTGTGTGATTTTAATTTAATTATCATTAACTATTTAACTTGTTTCTTGCTTCTCCTACGCTGCTGATGCAGCCAGGACTGGTTTTTGTATTTGGAATTTGTTTACTATCACGCTGGTGATGCTTGCGAATAAGTGGACATGGTTCACCCTTTCAGAATCTGCTATTAACATTTGTTGTGGGTGGTCTCTGCAGCCAGAAATGGAGATGGTGGCTCGGGGCTTGGAGAAGCACTTGAAACTAGAACAAAGGAAACACCTCATGGATATTTTTGCAGGAGTTTGTGGTGAGGCAAGTCACCAAATTGCAAGAGAAGCTCTTGGTTTGGTACGGATCTTTTTCCCTTCTTTTGAACTTGTCTCAATATGACAGATTTATAGTTGTGATCACAATAACTGAATAGTACAGTAAAAAGTTCTAGGAAGGAACTTCCCCTTGCTTCCGATGTTCTCGGCAGGCACTTTGATTGCTCATTTAAAATTTTCTTTCCTTATGGCGAGCATAGATTTTCGGGTTACTTTTATGGTGAACTTCACGCATACACTTTGAATTATATTCTGCCTCTATGAGTTGGTGATGGCTTGAGACATTATAGAACTTGCGGGTGCTAAGCTTGTTATTCAACCCTACTGTCATTTCATTTGTCATTGTCGTTCGCCTTTTACTTAGCGACATGTCAGAGAACTCTCCTTTCTTTGAAATGTAGAATAATGTTTATAATGCAAGCCATTTTTCTAGTTTATGTTTGATTTCTTTATTAATTTCAATCTGTGCTCTTCTTCTGTGCAGATACATCTGCCAAATTGCAGCGATCAATTTGAAGACAGAATTCTTTGAGTTTAAGTAAATCCCCATTTTTCAACTTGTATTCTTTTAAAAATTTGTAGTTCATTTGATCGCTTAGGTAGGTTATTTGTTATTTATATTATTTGATAGTAGTATCAATAAAGCCCGAGGGGTTCCCCTGGGAAGAAACGGCTATTAGAGAGGCAAATATTTAATTAAGGATGTTTTTAGAAAGATTAGACATTTTAAAGATATAAACTAATCTTCACGACAAAATATAGAAGTTTTGTTTAATCACATCATTCATTAGTTGTACGTTTAACTTCAAAACATAATTACTGCAAGATAAAGTAGTGTAACTATCAAGTTTTTCCGTTTCTTAAAGATCATTTTTTGGCCAATTCAAAATGAGATCGAGTTTGAGCATTACTTTACAAATTAGGTGGACATCTCTTATTGAAGAAATTGATATATTACTTTCATATAAGAACTTGAGACTTTTATTTTGATATTAAATATAAGATTCTAATAAGATTTTAATATATTTTATTTCTTATTTATCTTTTTTAAAAAAGAGAATTCTTGTAATGATGGTAGTTTTAAAATTTTTTTTAAAAAAATCTATTTATCACAAATAATTTAACTTACCAAACTTGGTTAGTATAATTAAATTAGTTAACTAATTTTTCTATTAAAATCCAGAAGTAGTATCATCCGTGATTTAGAGTAATATAACTTCATAATTTTACTTCTTTTTTCAAAGATTACACCCCATCAAGAATTACTCCGGCGACAATGGTTCCATTACTATCGCCGTCTTAAGAACTATAATTTTAAATACATGATTAGTACAAAACATGGATACATGAATATGAAAACTTAAGCTTTAAAAAAGTAACAGACAGTATGGCAAGCATATTGGCATGATTTTTCCCCCATGCAACAAAAAGCAGTAGCCACGTTCTACTTTTCAGCCGTTGTTTTCATATAACAAAGAAAGACCAAAATCATTATTCATTCGTAAATGGTTTAAAAGAATAACGCATTAAAGGGGTTGAGGTGAGCATTAAAAGAAATAAAAATATGTAAAATAGACAAAAATAAAATGAAAGGTCAGACAAAAAGAATAGAGCACATGCGCCAAAAGTACGAAGCTGTTTCCTATTTCTCTATCAAAAGTCCTGAACTGCTCATCAGCTTCTGTAGATTTTTGCAGTTCTCTATTAAGCAGGTAGAGAAACTCTTCTATTTTTGCTTTATTTTGACGTAAAAATGTGTGCACCAATGCTACCCTTCGATAAATATTACCAAAAAATTTCCTCGAGGAAGATTCCTGCAACAATATATAAAAGAACTCATTCATTCCCAGAGCGCACAACAGCTATGCTACGCAATGACACAACTGCATATACCCCTTACTAAGCACAAAACTGATTTATATGAAAACCAAACCATGCATCCATAAAATTAAACTTAAAAAAAAAAAACTAGGATTTGAGAAAAGCAAATAATATAAAAACAGGAAAAACATACTGTGGGTCAATCTATGTGGGAAGAAGCGGCTGTCTCTCATCATGCCCGACACGATGACTAGCCTGTACATTAGCAGCAATGAAACCTAAATCAATGAACACGATGTATTAAAAACCACAAACGAAAAGCAAAGTGAACAAAGATTTTCACCTCTTCATTTGCTCCAGCAGCCATATTGACAAAAGAGTCCTTAGTCCTGGAACAAAAATTAAATATTTGTAACCTCAAAGGAAGAGGGAGAGAGACATCTTCCAAAAATTTAATTGCATTAAAGCCCCTCTATAAAATCCAATGCACTAAAATTTTTCAGAAACTGAAAAAAGAAAACTCTTGCTGGAAAAACTACTCATGTCATTGCCTCATACAAAGCAACATGGCAATCACAGAGTAAGTAAAGAAATTCACAAGTACCTGTGTGAGTCATGAACATCACGCAGCTCCATCAAGCCATTTTGTTGATCATCTCGGACTTTTGAAAGGGGCGAAAAGAACTACAGACAAAATGTGAAAATGCGATACAAAAAATGTTGTTAGAACTGTTCGCTCTAAAAATGCTTATAGCTTGCAAACTTGCAAAATTCACCAAATTCAATTTACCTGGTGCATTGAGATGAAGACAATAGAAATCCCTAAAATAAAGTTCATTGTTAAAGTATGTCCGAATAATGCAGCAGAAGCTATGCCAGTGAAGATTGTAGCAACTGTTGAAGAGTACTTCTTCAAAATCGTATCTGAAGACATAAAGTGGGTTGTTCAGAAAAAAGAAGCAAATAAAGTGTTCATTCATACAGCACAAGGTAGATTTCAGATAAACAAGCAATTTGTTTTTAGGTTTTGGTGGAAAGCAATCTAATATAATAAAAAACATAACTATTGACCTGCATATTTAAAGAAAAAGGATGATAGAATCCCCTGGGCAGCATTGTTAGCTATCAAAAGCATGGTGGCTTTTGAATGACCTTGCAGAATATCAAAGCTACTTGGACCTGAAAAATGTAAAGCAACATCCAAAGAACCAGTTAACAGTTTTTTCACCATCAGATAAAAGCAATAAACCTGGCTCCATTTGAACTGTCCAAAATTTAAAGTGATATCAATATTTCATCTGTTAGCGTAAATTTTAAGTAACGTGTAATTAAAAAAAGGATTTTGAGACTAAAAAAAAGAGACATGCTTCCAGTTTTTTCTCTTAATTGAAGCCATTTGCTTGAAGCTCTCACAAGATCCAGAAGATAGAGATCCATGTCTCACCCTTCACAATGGCAGTGCCAACTATTCCAAGAAAGTTGAATATAGCTCCATACCCATATAAGAATAAGTTCTGCAAATCAAGAAACTCTAAATTAGTATAGGGAGAGTGTAATTGTAGAGTGCTATACTTGAAACTCTCCTCTTTTCAACTTGTTGATAATTTTGCAGTTAGGAAATTAAGCATTTTGTTAGTCTCTTTCTCAGTTTTGCTTTGGATTGTTCCCTTCTCTAGTGCATTAGAAAGTGCCAAAACTTCCAACCAAAACTCCTATATATCCCCAAACCCTCAGGCAACGTAACCATCGAAGTCAAACCCCAATGGCTTGGGATTTTTGACAATTACAATATATACTGTAGTGCACTTCACGTCTAATCAAGACATTCAATAATATTGAAAATATTCAAACAATCAAAACAGGAAAGTTGGTAAACTGTTGATCATGAAAAAAGAACAAAAAGCTAGTACAGTTTATTTCTAGACCATTCAGCTAGAGAATAGGATGAAAGTTTACACTCATGCGGTAAGACATTTTTCAACTCTCTGCAACACTGTCCAGTCTGAATCAGTATATAATATAATGATGGAAACGTTAGAGACTTCACCTGAAGATAAATGCTAGTATCATATTGGCTCTTCAAAGCATACTCGTTGTAAACAGAGGCCAAAGACGGAACAGTCACCTGCAAAATAATTCCTTGGTTCAAAAATCAACAAAATGAAGGTAATCTGAATATCTAAAACTGCAAACTGATCATATATACTTTGAAAAATATCCCGCACAACAATAAGATAAAGAACAGCCAAAGAACAAATAACCAACATACTTACAAATATACATGTATAAACATATGCACCCATTGTGATGGGAAGACCCAGAGCTGTAGTTCCTTCAGGAAAAGATTTCAGCTGATTGACACTTATGCCAATAAGCAACAGCGCAAGAGCCTCCCACTGCAGTCAGATAATGAATCATTTTTGTGGGTAAACGTGGTACTCAAGGATTAAGCTCAACTCGGATTCAAGCAAGAATTAAAAGTTAAAACTTGCCAGTAAAGATCGAGATAATAGCTACACAGACATTTCTTATTCATATTAACAAGACAATGGGCTCAAACACAAACCTGAATAATCGAAAAGCGGCGTCTCATAATCATCTTTAACAAAATTGCTATCACTAAAACCTGCACATGCAAAGTCAAACATGAGAAATTCAGTTAAAACGAACCATCAAGAACAAGAATTTTCCCACTTATTTTGAATAATTGTCACACAGACGAGTAATGCCCCATCTTGAATAAGGCATGCACTAGTAGTTCATTTAATATACCACAGCCCACAAAAATGAGATTACATAAAGGTATCAGTTCCTCAGCTTCTATGACAGTACATGCAAGAAGCATCTCCCTAAAGTCCCTCCACCACATAGTTGCTCAACTGCCTTAACACATCATGGAATCTTATATCCTCATAAACAAGAGGGGGCACATAAGAGATACAACAAAATACAATAGTTAGAAAATACCATTCTATAAACTTAAGCTTATGCAGCCATTGGTTATATCATGGTGCCCCTAAACATTGACGCTAACATAAGGCCAGGCTAAGAAACAAAAGAAAGAATAAAGGAGTAAAACGAGAGGATATAATAGAAGAGAAGTGGAAAAAATAACTTTTTAACTGGTAGTTTACAATTGGAATTATTGTACAGCGAAAATATGTTGAACAGATAGTAACTGTGCGCAGGCTGTAATCAGGCAGACCATAGTCATAATAAAGCTTTGACACCCTGTACCTTGAACTATAAATAGAGGATTTCATGTAGTTAGACTCAAAGACCTATTTCATTTAAAGGGTTTCCTCTTCCTCTCTACATGCAACACTTTAAATGAAATGTGGTCAATGAGTCAAACCTGCATGAAATCCCCCACTACGAGGCCAAGATTCAAGGCATTAAAGCTTCATTGTGACTATCTAGTCAGCATATTTACACAGTGCAATAATTTCAACACTGCAGTGGGAAGAATCAGAACCCCATCACTAAAGAAGCACAATGAGCAAACTCAGTAAACTATTACCAATAATGCAAATGTGCTGCCCGAAAGCACAGCAAATAACAAATTACCTTCAAATTGCTTAGCATCTTCACGGTGGCAGGATTAAAATAAAGCTGCATGAAATGTGATATCAACCTGTCAGACACTAAGAAATATGAAGTCCAACATACAAGAGCTGTTTTCAATGCATAAATTGTGACAATAGCAAGATAGACTGTAACATGGTTCAACACTTAGCTTTTCTTTTCTTTTCTAAGAAATAAAGGTAGTTGTAGGATTCCAAAAAAGTCAAATGACACAGGCACAGGCAAGAAACCAAGAAAGTCTCCCCAACCATTTGCATAAGACAGGTAGTTATGACGTCGTCAGTCAGATCACAATTCCATCAAGCTAAGGTTCTTTAATGTGGCATTAATTTCTAAACAATTTCATCTAATTAGGCTTAGAGGTCTTCAACACAAAAAGAATGTCAAGGCTTAATGATGGCGAGCAGTCTTCCAATATATCATATTTCGTTGGAACACAATGATGATGAAATATTTTCTAGGGGTCCCTATGCCCTTCAATTTAGCATGGGGTAGGGTTTGATTTGTCGCCTCCCTCTGGTGCCCTGCTCATGGCTTTTTGTAACAAGTTTTTGTCTGATACACATAGGGATTGGAGGACTTTAAAAGAGATTCAAGTGTTCATAATAACAGCAACTGAATTCATTGACGCATAACAGAGTAATAGTCAGTATTATACCAAGGACTAAGAGTACCTGCATAATAAACTTCAGATAGTTGTTTATAGCATACAGAAGCGCTGGAACAGCAAGAAGAACATTGTTGCGAGCTGCCTGAAAATAATAAGATCACAACATACAGGATAACTATTAAGAAAAATCTTCCTGTTTGTTAATTAAAAAAAGGTAATAAAAGATTAATGCCAATAAAGCAAAGATAAGAACGTCCTCTCTTTTCTAAAAGAGACTGAATGCATGCAGCACTGCTCACATTTTTAAGATGTCCTTTATTCGCATCAATGCTTCTACTTCATTAAACATCCGTTATCCAAAAAAATTGTCTAATATCATGAGTAGCAAAATATGACACAAATGTACTACAAGAATTATTTTATTACTTTATTTCAAAAAAGGCATGCCTAAGCAATCTGTTTTGCGCACCAAAAAGTAATCACGTGACAAAACATTGAAGAAAGTCGGACCAGCTGAATTAAGAGAAGGACTTCACAAACTCTTCTCACACAAAATTAGTAAATGCAAAATCTTCTATACCAATAGTACCTGCACAAACGTAGAAATTGAGAGAAGAGGCTTCTCCCCAACTTTTTTCTGCCTAGCCTGCAGAATTAAACACAATCATGCTGTCCAGTTTATTAAGAGACTCAGAGAAAGTAAATGTACAAAGATCAAAGAATCAAATTGTGCTAGTTCTGCTTTGATATTGGCATATATTATGATATTCTATGAACTTTGTTAAATCAGGAACATCTTGAATTTACATTTGGTAAGCTGCCAAGAAATGCTGCTTTGCTCAATTTAGCTGTCCCAGGATACATTAATAAACCTGCAACAGTTTATTGATAATTGCTATGTGTGTTTGGCTTCAGTTTGTTCTTTAAGATTTACTGCGTCAAGTGTTTTTCATTAGTATTAGCTACCACTTCGTGTTGCTATGATTTAGAGTATCATTCAGCCGAGTGGGCATTTCAGTATATAAGCAGTGCCAAATTTGATCCTGCAGTCCCTGATCATGGTCTTCATTTTCGTTTGAATTTCGAGTTTTCAAGTGTTACTTGATAAATGGTCCATCTAATTTACCTATAATACAAAGATTAAAGTATTAAGCACGTAGGATTACAACTCTATTCCTAACCCCTTCGCACAGGCCTCCAGCACACTGATCACTCATATGGTTTTTATCACCAGGATCAATTTTTCAAGGGATGTATTAATTGCTTGTGTTTAGCTTCCAAGATGTAAAGCCTAGACCAATTTTTCGATTCCATGACTTCTAAATTTGTTTCCATTCAAATCTTCAGCCTCCCACACTTGTTTCTTTCAACAAACATTACTACAAATAGGGAGAATAATAAATACTTAAATAAGGTACAGCTGCATTGCTACTCTGAAGGACTAAATAACTATGTATTCTCGTCATCCGGTTCAAATTTCAAACTAAAAAAACCACACTTCGTGGTTATTTGGTCCTTACTTCCTGAGATTAAGAATATTGAATGTTTGGTCCTTCCTTTTAATCCACCACTAAAATTCTTGCATAGATCCGCCCTAGAATCACCAAACTTAATATTCTAACTAGATATTGGGCCCCGTATGTTTCACTAAATCTAAGAATAATTTGCACTAACCACGGTTTATGCCCTCACACACCGAACACTCACTGTATGCCGTGCTCTGAAAATAAGCCACTACTCCCGGAAAAAAACCTCAAATAACTACTGATTTCTCCAAACAAATGTTGATCTTATTTCACACATGCTTCAAATAGGCAAATGCAAGTAACGCATAATACAAGATTAAGACGACAGGATACACCTGGATAAAAAAATAGGGAAATGTAAGATGTACCTGGATTAAAAGCATGACAATAGCAAAGACAACCTTTGTGACCTCTGTCAAAAAATTAACACTGATTGGGCTAAAATTGAATTTCCCATCCACCTTGGACATATAGACAAGAATAGGCTGCCGCACAAAGAAAATAAAACAAGTTAGTGGCTAGCAATAAGCAGGTTCTTTTTCTGCCCTACTATGATGAGATACTATAAACTGGGCACCATCCAATAAAATACACATTCAAACACTAAAACTAAAAGAGATGCCAACCAAGTATTAAAGTGCTTACTTTCCAGAAAAGAGAGAGAGAGTAAGATGTTGAATTACCCATCAGGCTAACTGCTAAGCATCCATAATGTTACTTATTAAGTAATATTCGATTCACTGACTATGTCTTGGCCCCCAAAAAAAAAAAGTCAATGACTATGCCATGGCCCCTAAAAAAAAAAAAAAAAGCAAATTCGATGTTTATACAAGAGCAGGCCCTGAAAAGTGTTAGTTATCCCTGCCATATGCATAGACAAAGAGCTTGACTAATTATACATAAACCTCAAGAATATCAGATTCAATTAGCCCTCAGCAACAAGACACGGGGGAATGGAAATTTTGTTTACACATCGAGATAAATTAATCACTAAACATATTATGCTTCACCTAACACTGTAAGGCGCCTTGAATATTGTTATGCTACAACTTATAACAATCCACAAGCAATTCAAGCGTGTTTGGTTACACGCCACCATGATTGGTGTGAAAACACGCAGTTAAAGGTTCAGTATACTCGCATGCAAATTTTCAGGATAGGATGGATTTTTTTCCTCCTGCGCCTCTCCAGCTTTTGGAAAAAAAAAAAAAATCAATTAAAAGGTAACAATCACCTGTAAGCCAACTAAGATGCAGTCACCGACAACCAAGAGGACATTAAGGGCACGCTGCTTGGATGATATCCTGCTTTTGTGTTTGTCATAAGCCCTTGATATAGTTCTGGGACTAGGAGAAACCAATTTTGAATGGCATACACTGCATTCTATCATCCCGTTCTTCATGTAATTGCGACTACTATCTGATATGAACAATAGGATCTGCAAGGAAAAAACTAAAAGTCAAGATAACAAGTTTACAACAACAACAATAATCATAATTCATATGTCGACGACTGAATAAATTATGTTTGACAATCGACGGCTATACTTGTTTTTCAAAACTATAAAATGTATAGCCATAAGATCAGCTAACCACGAATAATACACCAGGGAAAAAACGTATCCATTTTTCCTTCTCCACTTCGCAAGAAATTAATTCAGGGATTTAAGAAAATCCCTATGTGAAATCCATAAACGAATGAAAGCTAAAGTAAGAAATTCCACCAGATCTTGTTTCGGGAACTTCGAAAAAATCATTCAAACACAAAAGTAAAAACAAATCCATTAACACACTAAAGATCCCCTTTCAAAACGAAAAAAAAATTATGAATATGCAAAGCTCAGATCTTGCTCCAAGATGATGATGACACAAAAACCAAAAGAAAATTATGTATGATCAGGATCAACCTTCTAAGTTGACGAACCAGAAATCAACAATGACCCACCTAAATCGAGTCCAAACCGAGCGTTTAACCGAAAACTCGGTTTGATCTGCTGCGGCCGGCGCCGAAGTTCAACTAGCTGAATTTCCTTCGAGAGATGATAGTATGATTTCGGAGCCAAACAATGCCCGGACAAATCAGATTCGAATTCGAATGCGCTCTGTTTCAAACGAATCGGAGTTTAAATTCCGAGAGATATGCGAGGAATATGCATTGACACACGAGAGACAGGGGAATGTGCAATATAATTACGAGCTGCCGAGAGGGCTTGCTTTGAATTTACACAAACACGAATTTCGGGCGTTGTTTTCTGAAGGTGGTGAGGGGAAAAAAACTCAAAAAGTCACCAAAGGGGGACAATTAAAAAAAAAGGAGTCACCGATGCAACGTGACAGACCAACGAGGTGAGAGAAAATGCGAGGAAAGTAGTGGCGTGGAAGATGGCTCAAGAGTTGGGTGAGTCACTGGCCGCTTGGACTCATCACTACTCCATTAACCCACAAATGAAAATTGTAAAATTAGGGCATAAATTAGGAATTTCTGGTCGGCTGTTTCTTTCGCTTCAATTTTGTGATAAAAGCAAGTTTTGGGCATTCAGTAATTGCCAAGGATTGAAAGGGAACTTAAATACTCACTGTTACCGCATTCAATACCAACAATTGGCAGATTGTCCCTTTTTTTAAACAAAAATCTCTCCTTTTTAACGCTGAAATATGTTTTATGAATTTAGTATATTAAATAATATCCATTTTGAGGTAAAAAAAATGCTTAGTAGTACACATTTTGAATAATTGTATACTCTTAAATGCAATTATCTATGTCCATAAAAAATAAAATACATTGGTTTAATGCAATTATTCATGTTTATAACTTAGATGCACTTATTGAATAATTGTACATGCTTGATGCAACTATTCCCGTCCATAAACTCTTAAGTGCAATTATTCATTTCAAAATTATTCTGAATTTCTCACTGGTTTTAATGCAATTATTCATGTTTATAACTTATCCTTAAATATAATATAAAGGACATTAAAAACGTATCATTTTGAACTAACATGATTATTTATGTCCATAAAAAAGATAAAATAACTAAGAAATAAAATTAATGATTTGTTGAATACTAGTAATAGTAATATATTCACCCATATATCCGGGGGAAAAGAAAAAAAAGAACAGGTTACAGCACTTGCGAAGATATTAAGACTAAAAATCCCAGTACAGTGGAAGGAATAAGAATTTTGTACCGTCAAATATAGACCCCTTTCCTGTCTGGCTGTCTCCTCAGCCGAACCGCGAACTCCCTCCTTGCCTCTAGGTGGCGTTCATGGCTGCCTCTGCCTCCAAGCATCTCAACCTCTCTTCTTCTTCGAAGCCTCCCAAAATTCCCATCGACGAATCAAAACCCGCCATTTCCATTTCCATTTCCAATTCCGTTGTTTCTTCTGCTTTCACAATCTCTTACGATAACCTTTCCCTCTCCCGCGCCTCCCACCTCACTCGCCACGAGCTTATCAAGCGTCGTTTCCACTACCTCAGTCAGCTTTCCAAATGCTACAGAGACTTATACTGGGCCCTCATGGAGGAGCTCAAGGCCCAGTACAGAAAATACTGCTGGGAGTATGGGGTAAGCCCATTCAGGGAGGGAAACATGCAGGAAAGAGAGGGTGGCAATTTTGAAGGCAATGGTGAGAATAATGACTGTAATGGTTCAAATAGTCGAGCTGATTTGGATGTTGTGAACAATCACAGATGCGCTTTCGTGGGTTGTAAGTTGAAGGCCATGCCATTGACCAGCTTTTGCCATTTACACATTCTTTCGGATTCCAAGCAGAAGCTTTATAAGGCCTGCAATTATGTTATCAAGAGGTTTCTTTTTCTTAATGCTGCTTTCAATTTCCATTCATTCATTTGTCAAAAATATATTTATTGTTTGCCGGGATGCTTGTGAATTGGTGAATTGTGGTGTGCTGAAATGAATAACTCCATCGATGTGAGTGTTTGAATTATTGCTTAAATAGGTGGATTAATGTGTTTCTTCCTTTCAAATTCTGACAAATAGTCGTTGATGAGGGAATGACTTGGCAGCAAGCTTGCAGGTTTGAACCCTGAAGCTGGAGAAAATACATTAATAATACAGATAATGCCTTAGTTTCCATTGTTATTTTCTTTTCCTCAGGCTTTAGAACAGATCCCGTTCAAGTAAGGTCCTGATAAATGGGAGGATTCAACAGTGAAAGCTTGGGGAAATTAAGAGTTTTACTTAATTTACTTTTGGAAACCATGTAAATACTATACCTTGGTTTAATGAACATTTTCTGAACACTTAAGAGTCCATGTGTTATCTGGTACCATTTAAAAGTTTGTTGTTTGATATTGTTATAGAAGTTTTACCATATAGCTCAGTATTTGGAAACCCCTCCAACCGTGGGGGACAGAAATGCGACTGGTTCATGCAAAATGTTGTATTCAAGAACTTCGATGTTAACCATTGCTGATCTAGAGGTACGCTCAGTCTGTAAGTGATTCGGTTCTACCAATATTTTGATAAAAAGCGGTTGAATGGACTGTCGTCCATAAGTTTTTTATGGAAGCACAGCTGCTGGTGTGAATGCTTATCACTGAAGATGCAGTTATGTTATTTTGAACTTACTGAGTACTCTCTTGGTATAGAATGGTCAAGTTATGGATAGAACATAGGTTCTGATTTCTCTTAGATATTGCCATCGGATACTTCTGGGATTGTAAAAAACATTCTCCTATTCTCATTTATGAATCAAAAAGAAAGTGTACTAGATAAGGACACTGAAGTACAGAAAGACACAGTTTAGTACGCAGAGCAGATTTTTTTTCCTTCCTTCTTGAGTTACAATGGAAAATTGCACTTTTTTGTGCTTGTATTTGATTATGGACAAATATTCCAGTGATTTTTTTTATTTTTTTTTTTGGATCATATTGATGTTTCCGTTGGCAGCCCTTGGCCTTTTTATTCTTGTGGTGGGTGATGCCTAAACATGGTTGCTTACCGTCTTATAGAACTTACAACTTTCTTCTTTTGTGCCTGATTGCCTTTCGTCTCTTGTATTACCAACAGCAATGAGAAGACATGATCTTAGATTGAATTTTTTTTTTTTCCGGTTCTTGCGTTACAATGTTGTTTCTGAAATTATCATTATAAAATAGATTTTACTTAATTATTATTCGTTATTTCCATATGGATGGATTTCTAACAAATGTGATCAATTTTTTGCTAAAAGAATATTAATAATGGCTGCTTCTTGTGATGAATGAATTGGAGAGATTGAATTGTTGATGGGATATGCTTGTAATGGATTTTCTGTTTGTATTTCAGTGCCCAGGCTGGACCTATAACGTGCGGAAAACCTATATTGAGATCCACAACCCCTTCTCTCTGCAGCGTCCATTTCCAGAAGGCTCAGAAACATCTCACGAGGACCTTGAAGAGGGCAGGCCTAAACTACTCATCATGTAAACTGGCTCCTAAGTTTCATGTCATGGTCGCAGAATATGTTCGTCAAATTCAAATGAGAAGAAAACAACTAAAATCAAATAGAAGAATTATAGTGAAGGAAGAAAAGGATAACTGAGGCTGCAGATAGTGGTTGCAAACTCATCTCTAATACACAAGCGGCGGAAACCGGGAGGTGAGATGTAATTCTAACAATATAGAGTTCACCAACTTCTGTTGTAACTTCAATTTTTTCGTTTTTCTCTTTCCCTCTGCTCGTTCAAATATTTACCATGGTTCCCTTCATTTGATTTGGCAGCAAGCCACTTTCGGGACTTTGTAGAGTTGGTTCACAACAACCCCACTGATCCAATGTTTGACTTATACTTTTCTTTCTTCTTTTATTGATTGGGAACATTACAGACCACGCTTGGCACCTTTTGTACCGTACCGATAGTTTTAAGAATTTGCATCCTGTTTAGTGCTTGTTTGGTATGATTTACATAAACACTTATAAGTACATTTTATGTAAAATCGAGACAAAATTCTCTCTTATATTTCGTAAATAATGATTAAAAAACTATTTATGACATATGGAGTAAAATAAAGCATGAACATTAAAAAAGAAAGAGAACAAACTTCCCTTTCTGCCGCATTTGCAATGTGTGGGCAAATACGTCGCCTTAAAATTTAGCTATGGAGCGCTTGAAGGAACCTAAATTTTGAGTATTCAAATCATACTTTCCGGAACACAATTATATCAGGTCCAAAAAATTATTACAATAATGGATTAGGGATTAGGGATATATTTTATTTTTTATTGAGGGTTTTGATCTTGGAAACAAATCTCAATTTACAGCTCAAATCGAAATGGATTGACAGCCACAGTTCTCTCCGACAAGGTTAAAGCACCCCAACATGGGAGAGTATGGTCCACATTAGTTGCATGCAACTGTCAAATCTTCTCTCTAATTATTAATAACTCAATTGTTTTAGAATACTCCTTCGGTCCTTAATATAAGACTCATTTAACTAATTTGGTTAGATTAAGGAAGTTAGGTAAGCTAGTTAATTATAAGAAATATGACATATTTTTCTTAAAATACCATAATCATCTTTCTTAATACCTTCTCTCCCTCTTCTAATTGACTATGGTTGAGGAAGTATATATAAGGGTAATTTAGAAAAAATTGATAAATATGAGAAATGGTTCTTATATTTAGGACCAAAACCAACTCAACAATTGGGTCCTATATTAAAGACCGGAGAAGTATCTTGATATTAACCACTCAACTGTCAAATATTGACAATTCCTCTGTCGAATCCACGCCTAATCTCCTACACCCATTGCTTTGTGAATCTTTTATGAGAAGATTGGATGATGTGAACTGGTATATTTGTAAACTAGCGACTTGTATAGGCCTACCTAATGAATAAGTGCATTGTAAGAACATGCATTGGACCTACCAGAAGAGATTTTAACCGCCTAGGCACGACGTCGCAAATTATTAAATTCATATTAATAAAAAGGTGGTTTTAAAAAAAAAATTATTCTCAGTTAGATAACAATTCTTGAATTTGACTTGATTGAGTGAACAAGTGTATCCGATAATTTTATGTTTAGAATGATGAATTCAATTAATAAGCTTCATTGTTTGAATTCAATTTCCACGAGGGGTGTCTGCTGAAATTTGGTGAACTGATTATTTTGACAAAAAGCATTGACAAATTTGCTTGGATTGTGGCTCTGTGCGGTGACTCATTATTGCACTTACCTAAACATGTGCTTGGGACCAATGTCATGTTTAAAAATACTGAAGGGATAAATATATGTTGACAATTTCAATGATTCCATTTGATTTTACAGTGACACTTAGGGTGTGTTTGGATGAAACCAAACCGTGGTTTGAAAAAGTGATTCTGGAGAATAGATTTTGGAAAAAATAGATTTTGTGAAGAATAGATTTTGTGAAAAAGTGATTTTAAGAAGTGAGAGTGTTTGGATAGTTATTGCCAGAAGCACTTTTTATATATAGAAATTACCAAAAAGGGTATAAGTTAATATAATGATTATATAAGAGATATTTTTATAATATATTTTGATTTAAAGAAATAAAATTGTTAATAAAATAATTTTTTGATATATTCAATATCCTATAATATTTTTTATAGATACATCTAACATTTATAAATATTTTTAATAGATTAAAAAATATTTTAAAATATTAAATATATCACATTCGTTTCTCAAGCGCAACACTAGTTGCAAAAATTAATCAACCAATTGAATATCAATTAGGGCCCCAGCAGCTCAAATACATGATGGTTCTGAGGGACTCTTCGGCCTGCTTGAGTTTGTCAGAGTTGGAAGCCTTGAAGGCGAGAGAATCGAAGGCGTTAGAGAAGCGCCTGACTTGCTTGGAGGAAGAAGAAAAAGCAGAATCACGAAGAGATTTGATGGCGGAGTCGCCGCACTTGGAGCCCTGATCTTTCATTCCCTGCCAGGTGCGCATCCCTGTTTGGTACACTATCCTCCACACGTACCTCAAGCTCATGCCTAGCGATCTCTCTCTCTCTCTCTCTCTCTCTCTCTCAATCACACAGAATATGAACGAAGAAGCAACGAAGAGCTGTATGCTAATTGAAGATTGAACTGAATTAATGGCGCTTAAGGGAAACTTGCTATGTTCAAGAGCGAGAGGTTTTATTTCAGCGATCGAAATTCAGAGAGAACCACTCCAGAAGAGCGAAGCGGCGAGCAGAGAAAGAGGCGAGGTTCCTGAGTGAGTGAATCCGCGAGCAGAGTGAAGAGCGAAGAGTGAATGTGCGAGCAGAGCAAAGCGAACGTGTCGGCCAGCACGGCAGATGAAGGGTATTTTTGGGTCAATGCCGTTGCCTTCAATTATTTCAGCCAGAAGCAACAAATTCTTGCTTCTGATGAAACCATGGTTTCACCAGTGAAAACCATGCTTTCAACCTGGACCACGGTTTCACCAAAATACCTGTCTGTTTGGATGATTTTATGTGCAAACCATGGTTTGGCCTCCAAACCATGGTTTGCAATGTCATCCAAACAGGGCCTTAATATAAGGAACAATTTTTTTCCTATTATGTCGGCAATTTACAAAGACTATAAGTAAGAAGAATCAACGAAAATTCTGAACAACCTTAATTTTTTAAGAAGTCGATAAATGATTGCTTATTTTGTTCTTTAATAGCTTTTAAGAAGTCTATTTTCTTTTTTTAATAGATATACTCTATCTTTTATACTAAAGACAAAATTATTTTTGTTAAATTTTATTTTACAAATTTCAATGTTAAGTTTGGGGGGTGTTTGGGTTTTTTGCCAAACCATGGTTTGGCAAAAAATTTGCCAAACACCCTTAAAATTTTAAAAACCATGGTTTCCAGCAAAACCATGGTTTTGAGCTGGAAACCTTGGTTTCGGTTGAAGCTGCACGCCACCCGCTTCTGAGGAGTCTTCTGAGGAGTCAAAATAGTCGTTGGTAATTATTGGTCCCTCAGTAGCTTCCAACGGTGATATATATATATACATATTTTATTAATATATATTATTTATTAATATATATACATATTTAATTATTTTATTAAATTATTTTGGGAAAAAACATATTTATTTATTTTATTAATATATGTACGTATTAATTTTTTTTATTAATATTTTTTATTTATTTTAAATAAAGATATATTATGAAATATATCTTATATGTAATTATCATTTATACTTATGTCCTTTTTAGTAATTTCTACATATAAAAAAGTACTTCTGACAACAACTATCCAAACACTCTCACTTTATCAGAATCACTTTTTCAGAAAAGCTATTCTTTCAAAATCTATTCTCTCCAGAATCTATTCTCCAGAAGTTATTCTCCAAACCATGGTTTGAGGTTATCCAAACACCCCCTTGTAAGCATAAAATAAATATCAGGAAAGTAGAATTCATTAGTTAACCTTTTTTCCCATTTGTTTGTAATCAAACGGCCCTTAATCAGGATTAGTTACATGTTTCTGGGTCTGATATGAGACCATCCTTGAAGGGGGACGCACGCGTCAAATGCGACATGCAAAACGCACTTGAACACGATTTTTCGTAAACGGAATCCGTCGCTCGTTATATATAATCTGTTATACCGTAAGCGTGGTAATCCAATGTCATATCCCGTACCATTAGAACCCTGACAAAGTGTTTGGGTGGAAAGTGGAAACCATGGTTTTAAAATGCTTTTACGGTTACACTCATCCAAACACCAAGATTTCAACTGAGGCTTGATTTGCCATTTTCATTTTATCGGTCATAGTCCAAGATACGGTTTGGCGCTTCGAGCTATCCGCGGGGATGCAGCGTTGGGCATTCACGAATTGGGCGTCGCTTCTATGTCTGGGATTTGCCTTCTTTTTCTACTTCCACCCCTATTCATCTCCTCATTCTCCGATGGCTCAACAATCTATTTACGATTTCACTGTCAAGGTCTCTTTCCTCCGCTTTGTGTTTTCAATTTTTGTTGCGCCGTGCATATTCGTTGAAACTTGATGTGGTGAAAATTATTTGAACAACTTCCATTATTCTGCTTCATGAGTTTGGTTTCCTGATGGTAGGGGATTCTTAGAACATGAAATTAGAAATTAATAACTGACAAAATGGCAGAGTAAGATGGAAACTCAATATTCGATGTCCTCAGGTTTCATAACTATTTTAATTCGAAGATACAATCGATGAAGCCAGTTTTTGTGAATTTTATATGTTGTTAAGGTGCTATGTAAAGCGCCTTAACCTCCCTCCTATATTGGCTGGGAAAATAAGACTAGCTCCTTGGAGGTTCATCGCTTTCCTCCTTTGATTCCTATTTTTGACTAGATAAATATATTGTTTTATTTGACAAATGATAATATCTAAACATAAGTCGAGACTTACCACCTCACCGGAGGCTGAGTTTGCCATAGCAACGTCACTTTATGTTGTGTTAGCCAATTAGTGACTTTATATAATCACATCAACTTCTGCTGAGTCTGGTTTTCAGGATTCAGTTTTAATTTCCTTCTTATAGGATTGAGTTTGAAGTTCATTTGTTTTGTTGATTTTGTCTTCCCTGTTTTTATCATAATTTATATGTGCATTCTGATTTCTTCAGACCCGTGACATCTTTCCTTCCGTGTATTATTTGGTATGAACTATAATTGCAGGACATTCGAAAAAATGATGTTAGTCTCAGTACATACAGAGGGAAGGTTCTCCTGATAGTGAACGTTGCGTCACTTTGGTAATAATATTAGTTGTTTCATATCCTATTTTTCTTCTGCCACTTATGTGTATGTGCATCTCAACCCTCTCTAAGGTGTTCAACATAGTGATCTGTGTTGCTCTGCTTTCCATCGTCAATCACCTATCACGGCCAATGAGGCACTTTCTGAGACAGAAATTGAGGAAGTCCAGTTGTGTTAAGATGATGAAATTAGAAGTTTTCAAATTTTGCGTGTTATTTTCTCGTTCTGCCTTGTAACTGACTCATCAATTGCTTAAATACGGTTATTGTTTGAATAATCACTGTAATCAAAGGGTCACAATCAAGAGTTGCTTAAAACTGTATCTACTTGATTCTCAGTGTTCCGAGGCATAAAGAAGTACCATGTCCTTGACTTCATGTCTTTATTTCTTACATTTGTTGATGCCTATACAAATACTTGTATCGATCTTGATGCTATGAAAGAAGCTATTCCAGTGGAAAAGGTTAAAACAGAACATAAGAGAGAATCAGATAGATCTTTTAATTTAATGTCCAAAATTCGCTTTCATCTAGTGAAATAATTTAACTCAAAAAAATTTGTCTTCAATTCGGACCACAGATAAATGTTTATGATTAGAAAAGATGAAAGATGACTCGTGTCCCTGGTAGGATTGACTGATACACAGGTATCACATTGTTTGATTTAATACTTCCCTTGTTGCAATTTTGATGTTCAATCATGTCTCAGATATGCCAAGGGGAAGTGTTCTTGTGATACAATTAGAAACAAGAATTCTTGAAAGCTTTCTATGACAAGATTGATTTTACTCGGGGGCCTTTGTCTGATTGGTGAATATTCTCCATTTCAATCTATCAACATGGATCTTGATTCTAAAGCTTTAATGCGAGGAAAAATGGAAATTTTTTTTGTATGCCACAAGGCTTTTGCGGGTGTTTTTAAGGGGATTCAATCCCCAAGGACATTGAACTAAAAACATGGGGGATCTCTGTGTTGGCTGGTGCCAAATTCTGACAGTCATCAACTACAGCTTTAGTTCTTAGGAATCTTTGGACACTTGAACTCCTAACTACAAAATCTCTTTTGGTGACAAGGATGTTGTATATAATTTACAATGAGCTAATCATAGGAATATGATTCTTTTCTTTATTTTGTCTCATACTAATTATAATTGTTGCTGCAGTGGGTTGACAGAAACAAATTACAAAGAATTGAATGCATTGTACGAGAAGTACAAAGACCAAGGTCTGCCTTTTAAGTGAAGAGACTTCAGTTTCAATCATATTACTTGAGGTTATTAATTTGGTAATATTTGAGCTTACGTGTTATTCGTAGGATTCGAAATCTTGGCATTTCCATGCAACCAGTTTGGTAAACAAGAACCAGGAACCAATGAACAAATTGAAGAAGTTGCGTGCACAAAGTTCAAAGCAGAATTTCCCATCTTTGATAAGGTGATTTCTGATAATCTTATTGTGATTAATGAGATTAATTTAGTTTCTCTATTGAGAAATCCTGTTTTTGCCAATCATTTTCACTCATGCTGTTCGTTTCTGGCGTGTAACGTGAGTTCTTTGCAACGTTCTACCCTCGTCTATCTAATCAATTCATATTTGTTGTAGCCAGATCTTGTGTTTCAAAATTTTTCTGCAATGAAACCTTTGAAGGATATCGTTTGATGTTTATCTCAGAGAATACAAATGGAAATCATCCAAAATTGAATTTAATTATTCCAGATTGCAGTTAATGGGAAGGAAGCATCCCCACTTTACAAGTTCTTGAAACACCAGAAGAAAGGAATATTTGGAGACGGCATCAAATGGAACTTCACAAAGTTCTTAATAAACAAAGAAGGAAAAGTTGTGGATAGATATGCTCCTACCACAGCACCTATGAAAATTGAGGTTAGATATGATTTGTTAGTTTTATTTCAAGTAAGGGTATCTCTATACAAGGTTAGGCAATAAGCTTTTTATATGTTCCTTCTTGCAGAAAACCATCCAGAGTCTCTTGAACTCTTCTTAAGCTTCAAGGCTTGATCTCTACCGTGTATCCAATGCTTATTAGTTATCAGGTTAGTATTGTAATTATGCAGTTTTGGTTTCTCTTCTTGACAGAACACTGGAGCCCACAGTATATGTTGCAATTGCCAAAACTACGTTAGCTGGGGCTGGCCTTCTGTTATTCTGTACAGGGCGTAGACAAGGTTTCCTAAAGGCATGTTGCTGTATTCCTGGCACCTTGCCTTCAGAAGTTCTGGATATTGTTGTTTCAGAAGTAAATCCCCTACTCTCTTTTCATGGAGCAAGAGGGTGTCATTGTCTATATATCATGGTTTTGTACTGAACATTCACATCCGTTAAAACAATGAATACAGAAAATATAAAATTGCTTCGACGGGGAAATCTTGCAAGATAGAAGTTATTTATACAAATTATATATACCAAAATTAGTTAATTATTTGTCAAAAAAAATAAGTATTGATTTTTTATGAAATCTGATCTTTAATCATTTGAAATCAGAAATAATTATAAATTTAAGATACTAAATAAATTGAGGTTTTACATTTTTTTGTCAGTAAACTAAGGTTTTATATTTAAGCTCCAATTAGTTGTCATATTTAAAATGAGAGGTAGTATATGATTTTTTTTTTTTTTAAATATTGTATTGAATCCTGTTGAAGCATAAGTTCACAAGTGTTCCCACTATTTCCTGGGTTTATTCATTATTAAAGGAACAGGCACGTTCAGTGGTTTGTAATCGAGTACTAGAGCTTTTCCCTCAGGGCGTTCCTGATTAAAATGAGTTTTCAGATTTAGAATTTCTTATTGCTAATAGTTCTAGAAACTTCTACCAAGCTTGGTTTTCTTTCTTTTGAGAAGGGATGAATTCAGTTCGCAAATGATCGAAGATTGAGGGTGGATGGATGGGTGCGTTTCCCCATCAGGGACAGGTTGAGTAAAGTTAATTATTTGGCAGCCTATTACACCTCCGCATAAGCAGTATCGTATTCCGGTCATGCGCAGAATCAACAATTTTTGTGGGGCGCATCGAGAGGACTCCATCCGACGGTTAAAGACTAATGATTAATGATCAAGATTTTGATCCTATAACTTCAGTAAGATAAGCAGACTCAGCCCAATTTTATTTGAGCTCAGAGCTCATCAATTTCATTTTTAAAGTCAAAGGCATCACTTGGACGCAAAGATGTTGCTGTTGTTATGCTTCTTTTCTTTTCTTTTTTTTGGCCAGATTCTTTTGATTTGTATTTCCACCGTTAAGGCATAGTATAATTGGATTGGAAGGGACCATTGGCCTGACCATTTCACAACACATCACAGTTTTAAACCTCTTGTAGATAAACCGTTTTCACAGAGGCCTTCTTTGTCCTGGCCATAAACCTTGATCTCTCACGCGTCATGATTGGCTGGGACTGGAAATTTTTCTTTTTTCTTTTTTCCTTTTTTTCCTTCCCAGAAGTTTAGCATGTTTTGTTGCTGGCACATTTCAGTACCCACCACAATCACATTTGAAATGCAATTTAACCTGGTAATCACTGATCACCATGAATATAGTCGTAATTAGTTTGTTTCTCCCTCTTCTTTATGCTTTCAGCAGAAACTCAAATATCTGCTTCTCTTCCATAATAGATGAAACTGTGGCGGACCCGATATACTCGCAGTCTGCCATCATGCCAAGCTATACCAGTAGAAAAGAAAGGTCCTAGTTTTCCCAATGCTTAAACCCCCCACCAAATCAAAACCCAGATGAGAAATTAAGGAAACCATGTTGAAAATGAATTCATCCAAAATTTTTGTCATCCTTGCATCATCTCATGTATCCTGTTATGTCACAGACTTGATAACTTATGGCAGCGCCAACAAACAAAATCGAATCAACCAACTATTAATTAAAGCCTAAACTATCCAAGATAAGCCTTCCATACAGAACTAAGAAATAATTGGAGGGGAAATCTCTAACCAGAGGTAAAGTATCTTGACATTCTTTCCTTTTCTCCCTCCTCTAGGTGCCTCTGGAATACCAGTAGAATGAATTTACATCTACCCAGAAGTATGCATAAGCACAAGTTAGCACGCTTCTTACTGTTAGCATGATGGACGATAATTTGCAAATGCAAGTTAACGTTACAAAAAAAGAAAGGGGAAAATTCTGTAGTTAGGTTAGTTACCTCAGCATATGCAGAGGTGATGAAGTAGTTGGTGAAGCTCTTATTGGAGGCTCACCACTGCATAAAAACCAACAGCTGTGGTTGGAATGCATAGTGGATAAACATTGACAAGAAAATAATAGCAATGGAAAACTTTATTCTAATAATTCATTTTATTAGCAACGACCCGAATACAATGATCACAATATATATTTAGATATATCAGCCTCAGAAGGTCAGATCAGGCTCATTTGAGGGTATTAAGTTATTCCAAACCTGAAACCCTCGCCGATTCTTCTGCTCCCCAGCTAAGCTGACCCATCATTGATAGAATTCATGAGATCCATCTCCAGGTAAAAGAATAGCTAGAACGCTCATTCCTCCGCGAAATTTGATCTGCGGCAGATCAGATTGTTGCTTTTGTAACTCCGCAGATTTCAGGTAGCCCATTTTTCTCGTCAGCGAATCGAAAGATTTTGATGTTTTTTTAGTTGCAGAGTTTAACAGTGCAAGCTACAGCCTGTGCCCAAAACTTGAGCCGTGCTTTAACATCTTCAGGATGGTCACCTGCAGGAGAACATCAAATTTAAGCCACATGAGAATTTCATTTAAGCCCACACAGGGAAAGGCGGGTGTCAATATGCAGTTCAAAACATCAGTGATAAGCATTTGGTAACTCTACTAAGGAAAAATTAATCGATCCACGTTGTTCATCTGCATCTTAAAAAGTAAAAACACCCTGGGATATAAGATCTATTAAGCACAGGAAGTTTTCGTTTATAGGCCAAATCATCATGAATAAAACAACTAAATTAAATTCCACACACAAGACCATATCATTGCAAGATTTGGTGACCTCCACATGTCAATTTGACGGCAAAAGTAGAAATAGAAATTGATCTCAATAATTCCATTAAGCAAAAAGGGAAATCAGGGAATCAACGACTTCCCACTCACCAGGACTAGAGATTTTCCAGTTGGCCACGGAGTTGGACGAGGAAGAACAGGAATCCGCAGGTGACGGCGGTACCTCGGGCGAACTCTCGGGCGACTTCTGATGTTCATCCATGAACTTCTGGCTCATGGAATAGCACAACTCGAGAGCCGGCAAGGTGTTACAGAGCTCAGGAATCTCGTCGTAGCTGAAGCCAAAGCCAAGATCCAAGCATCCTTTGAGCTCATCCAGATCTTCATCGGTCAAGCTCTTGGTCCTGCTCAGATCCTCATCCGGCGTCTCCACATAACCTTCAAGCAAAACCTGATTCTTCTTCTTCTTCGTCTTCTTGCTGCTGGTGGACGTGCCGCCAAAACTGTGGCTCTTGATCCTGAATCGCTCCTGCTGGCTATCTCCCAGATCAAAGCCACACAAATCACTGGTCCGAATCTCAGGTTCTTCGTGGAAGGAGTTGGCACGACGAAGAACTGATTCGCAATAGACGCTTCCCATTTTTTTTTCCCTCGGAACTGTGCGGAGAGGTGTATTTCTCTCGGGTGTGAGAGAAGGGGGAGGGGAGGAAGGTGCTTATAAAGCCGTGTTTGTGTTGGTCTCTAAAAGCAGCCAAGAATGCGCCTTTGTGGTGGTGGCGATGATGCCTTCGCATCATACATGGAGTATGTATGGATGGATGGATGGAGATGGTGCGTACGGACAAGATGACAGCTGTGATGTGATGATTTGGTTGGAGAAACGGGACACGTGGAGAGGGTGAAGGTGGGAGTGGGTCCCGTCGGTTTTGTTTTGTAGTCTACATTTTGGTGACCCGCATGTGACTTCTGAGGTCTGAGAAACCGATGCATGCGGCCAAAAGCCTTAAAAGAGTTTTCCCTTTTCTTTCAAAAATTAATTTTATTATTATTATTTCTCTCCGAGTTTTTGCCTTTCTGGACAATAGTAGTGCGCTGCGCATTTCCTTTTTATCTTGTCTTTTTTTAATCTCAGGAGATAAGTCAGAGGCATTATCGAGCTGAAGTATGAATGATTTGTGTGTCTATCTATCTACTACTATAACGTAAAGAAATTAATTTAAAATATAAATTCATTTTCTAAATGATCAATGGGAATGCAATGGCCTCACACTATTTGTTCTGTATTCGTAGCCAATGAAATATTTTTTTTAATAATAAAATTTAACAGACGTTATGAAAACGACATTAATGGATTTTTTCCCCCAAAAAAATTGAACATTTACTTTATTCTGATCGCATTTTGCTATTAAGAAAAAACATTGATCCATATCCACAATTTATCTGAAGTTTATCCAATGGACGTTGTTTTCAATGAAATTAGATATTCTCGCATCCGATAATCAACATTATTTTCGGGGAGAAAATATTATATTGGAGGAACCAAAACAGAAAAAGAAAACGGATGGGAGAGGGTGACCCTTTAGAATGAGGTTCACAGAGGTGGCAATCATAATTTAAAGCAGACAAATGGCCGCAGTTAGAAAATATCTGCTTGATTAGTTGTACCAAATTAATACAATGTTCAGCTAAAATTTCCCCCCTAAATCATCAACCCACCAGTAGTTGTAAACCATATTATATTTAGCCTAATTGAGGTTGAGTTAGATCTTTTAAAACCAAACAATCCCCTCAACTAATTCTCACATATAGAATTACAAAAAGTAATAATATACTAATAATTAAATTGGTATAACTCCTATCATAAGCTGAGCACCATAATAGACTCCTGGATCTCATATGAGATGGAGCATTGAGAATGAGATGAAAGGATTGAAATTGGAATTAAGAAATCTAATAAAAAGCACTTAGTATGAAGAATTATTTGTTACTTGGACAGACCCAATTACGTAGAATTGAATAATAGCACTTTTAATCTCACGCACATGGATGTGCTCAATCCTAAGTAACAAGTAATCATTTATACTAAACACTTTTTTAAACGAGTTTTCTTAATCTCAATCCCGGTCTTTACATCTTATTTTCAGTATTTCATGTGAATACGAAACCAGGCCTTTGTGTAATAATTTGAGGGAGAGGAGGGACCACAGAGGAAGAAGAAGGTGTCGTTGTGGTGGTCATCCGCAGGCAAGGCAAAGCATTAAAGAAGAAGAAAACGGTGAAAGCAACAAGGCGGAAGCAATGTGTGTCATTAGGGACATGGAAGAAATGTAAGGGTTTTTAGGCCATAATGTTTGATTTGCCACAAGCAGGTGGGTCTCTCTAATAACTCAACAATGTCTCATTGTGTTCATGCACCCTTCTTAATTGATTTTGTTCTTTTGGCTTCGCAAGAAGACCATAACACACACACACATACACTCACGTATTATAATTGGACGGTGCACAACACTTTTACCCCAACAAAAATACCTAAAAAGCAATGAGGTCCCCTTTTTGTAACGTAATTCCTTGTCTTTGATTCGTAGCTTTTCAATTACTTTGCGTCATTTGTTGTATTCATGGTAATTAATGAACTTGTATTGTACTCTAATGGTACGATTGTTGTTTTATGAGTAGAAAATCATGAGTTTAAATTGATCAGATTTATAACTTCAAGCTATTAGTGTCTATCCCTTTAATAGGAAAATAATAATAAAATTGGCTAAGGTAATTATTAGTAAAATTCTTGCATTGCTATCTGTTCATCCATTTATATCGAATAGTAATTTGTTGGAAAAAGATCACTTTTAATAAGCCAGATTCAGTGTTTGAGAAGAAACATCAACTTAAGATGTTGGATCAACATATGCAAGAGCTTTCTTTTTTAAAAGGAAAAAAAAATTGGTTTACTTTCACATTACAATGATAGACATTCACGTCGCTTTGTTCCAAAGTCGTTGTTTCCATTGCTGGGGTTTGCTCTCTTTCGGTTCGGTCTGTCTTATTGCGGCTCAAACGACGCTATCTCAACTATTGTGATCTGTTCTTTGACTAACTTTAATTTATATATTATTAATTAACTAATTAATTTTATGGGGAAATACCACTATTGTACAGCACAGCAACGTCACTATTACTTAGGGCAGAAGTTAATTATTGTTTATTAGGTTTTGATTGGGTCGCATTTTCTTGATCGGATGGTCTTCAATGCGCTGACTCGTTCCATTTCTTCTCAGGTCTTTCCAATCAAGCAAATTAAATTATTTCTTTTAAAATTTTTAATTTCAAGTAGTTTTCAGTCCAAATTAAATTACAAATTATTTGTAGAGAATAAGAAAGTTAACTCGTGTTGACAGTGTCAAGTTCCAATAAATGTGTAACAGTTGGCTTGGACGGTTCAGTATTTAAATTTGTCTTGAATTTAAATTTCGTGTTTGAAGAAAAGTGTCATTATAAAAATCTGATATAATTTTAACTTACTTCTAGAAAAAGGAAAAATCTTCAATGAATTAAGCACAGCTGAACAACAATTTTTTTTATATAATCATCTAATTAAATCATATTCGATTACTGTTGAGCCTCATTGAGATAAGTCTCTCAAATATATTTTATACACTCACATGAAATCATATTCGAAATATTATATTTAAACCATCAAAGTCATTTTATTTTTACTAGAACCGCCGTGTGTCAGTAAAAGAATAGAAGTTTTTTTTTCTTCAAGCAATCAGAAATACATAAATATACATGGCGGGAGGAGATGATAAATAATAGGGGTTAATAATAATATGGATGATGTGAATATGTAAAATTTATTATTTATTAGTGGAATCATGTGCTGTTCTTAGAAGATGAGAGAGAATCCGAATAACAAAAAGAGAAACCAAAACAATTTTGTCGTATAATTAATCATGCCATGACAGATTGGATATCCAGAATCTGAGGGCATATAATATGCCAAGCAATTTACTTTATACTCATCCGATCTTTAATATAAGACCTAATTATTGAGTTAGTTTTGATCCTAAATATAAGACTTATTTATCATATTTATCAATTTTCTCTAAATTACCCCTATGGATATTCCTTTAACCATAATCAAGAGGATGAGGAAGATGGGTATTAAGAAAGATAATTATGGTATTTTAGGAAAAATGTGTCATATTTTTTGTAATTAACTAACTTACTTAACTTTCTTAATTTAATCAAATTAATTAAATGAGTTTTATATTAAGGACCAGAAGAATAACATAAGTATGTGAAGAGCAGTATGTTGAAGATGGAAAAGGAAATGCATAGTGGTGGTGGTGATGATGATGATTTGATGTTATGGAGTAAATAATACTATAATAATAAAAAAAAGGAGGGGAATGGGGAAGAATTCGGGGAGCTAGAAAATATGAAGGCGAGGGCGCCAATCACAGCTCAGCTTTGCGAGGCGTGAAGCACCCTTTTCATCGCAGGCAAAGATCTCTTTTTTATTATTTTATTTCAAAATAAATAAATAAGTCTTACCTGTCTTATTGTGCAAATAAAAGAGTAAGAAGCACTCCAATCCCAATTAGCTAGCCTGGTCCAGCTTTCTATTCCTATATTTCCCTTTCAGCTGCCTGCTCCCCCCATCATGTCGCATATTACGCTCCTCCTCTGCTTCTAATGTTGAATATTGGAGTTAATTAGGACATTTATTTTTATTTTAATTGTTAAAGTACGATTTGCTTTGTTTTTAAATATTATAATTTTTTTTCAAACTATCTCTATTTATTACTAAGAGGTTTCTATCAAGTTGATTATTTCTATTACAAATTATTAGCAAGAATATTTCAAGAAAGCTAAGAAATATTTGCCACTAATATTTATAAATTTGTTATTTAGTAATTATATTTAGAATTAGGCAAGTAACTTTTATTGAGAATAATTTTAGATTTTTTAAGAAATGACTTGTTACGTGCTTCGTGTTACTACCTCATGTCCTTAATATAAAGAACTCATTTTATTTTTATTTTGATCCTAAATATAAGATCTCAATCTATTTTGTCTCTCATATTTATTCTTTTTTTATTCAAAATAATCCTTGTAATAATAGTAGTTATAACCAATACATCTGATTAGCGATGATATTTGAATAAAGACAACAACTATTTATTACAAATGACTAACCTAATTAATTTTATTAATCTACTTAAATTAGTCAACTAACTCTTATATTAAAAATCGGAAAAAGTATTATATCTTCTCACCCTCATAAGTCGCAACTAATGGTGAAGAAATATTATGTGGAGACAAAGCATCCAGCACACCATCTCCCACTCCAGTATTCCTTGAATTTTATGGATGGCCAACTAACTTTGATGCATACACACACAAGTATTATATTTATCCACTCGATGTTTGGATAACCCTAACGTAACTGAGCCCGTCATCTTCTGCTGATCCCGACCCGCTCCTCCTTCATGTTTGGCATCGGGTGCTATATTCTTCCGTATCAAACTCCCACGCATATTTAGAAATTAATTTGAAATATTTATCCACAATTTTTAACAGGCAGGATTACTTTTATTTACTTTTTTTCTTTTTTGAAATGCGACCATCCACTGATAATGAAAGGAAAATTTC